TATGGATATAAAGGGTGCAGAACACTTCCCCAGTCCTTAGAGAAGGCTGTCTCCCATCCCAGGGTCCCCCGGATCCATGCATGGCTTCCCACCTGACCATCCCCCACTTGCTCTCAAACCAAGCAACTCCATATGAGAAAACATTCTTCGGAAACAGCGCCACCCTCGTCCTTGGCAAGACCTACGTTAGGGGAGAGTTGTCAGCACCTGCACAGGTGTGGGAGCCACTCCTGCCTCCCCAAGGAAGGGGGGTTGCTGTGTCCTGGGCAGCATTGGTCGTCCTCACACGGCATCAACCTGCAGGACCCTCGTGCACCAGCAGCCTGCCCTGCTGAAACTACTCAGCAGCCTATACAACCAGAGGGAAGGAATTCGCCAGCTGTGGAGACATGGAGGCATCTGACCTCAGATCGCAGCCACTTCCAATACACTATGCCAGGGGGCCTGTGACTTTGAGAATTTGAGCTGGCCCACTGGTGCCCACTTGGCTCAGTGAAAGCTCCCATCACAGGAGAGGAATGGTGATAAGCCTCCCAAACCAAGCCCCAAGGCAAGGGATGGCTCAAGCAACCAAAAGGTCCTTTAGCATCCAAACCAGGGCGCCACGGCACACAGAGCAGAGCTGACGGAGGCCAGAACAATGCAGCCTGGGCAGCAGGCACAACTCACCAATGCCCTGGCCAGCCATGCTTCTGTCCTCCAAGACCAGTGACAAGCAGGGACCCATTCCTGCTGTGACAATCTCTAACAGTACCTCAGCAATCAAACATAAATGCAGAACAGGAAGTTTCCTATATTGTACTTTGTCACTGAAAACAAGAATGATGAGCTTAACGGTCAGGCTTAATGCTCACAAGTTGGAAGAATTAAGGTAAATGAAACAGGAAGCACCAATCCATCTGCCCTGAACTCAGCACCTGCAGCGTTCCACAGCCACAGTATATCAACGCTGCCCAGCGTTCCACAGCCACAGTATATCAATGCTGCCCAGCGTTCCAGAGCCACGGTGTATCGATGCTGCCTGAACTCAGCACCTGCAGCGTTCCACAGCCACAACATATCAGCGGCTTTCACCAGGCATAACCCAAAACTCCTTCAATGCTGTCTTTATCTGCACTCACTATTAAATGCAGCTGGTAGTATGTGGTCATTTCAATATTACTTTCGGTTTCATACTATGTAAGACTACTATTTGAAGATTGTACGTTCTTAAGGATATATAAAAGTAAGTGAATCTAACACCAATGTTTTTTTTTCTTTTTTTTTTTATAAGATTTATTTTTTTATTTTTTCTTCATTGGAAAGGCGGATATACAGAGAGGAGAGACAGAGAGGAAGATCTTCCGTCCGATGATTCACTCCCCAAGTGAGCCGCAACGGGCCGATACTATGCCGATCCGAAGCCAGGAGCCTCTTCCGGGTCTCCCACGCGGGTGCAGGTTCCCAAAGCTTTGGGCCATCCTCGACTGCTTTCCCAGGCCACAAGCAGGGAGCTGGAAGGGAAGCGGGGCTGCCGGGATTAGAACCGGCGCCCATATGGGATCCCGGGCATGCAAGGCGAGGACCTTTAACCACTTGCGCCACCGTGCCGGGCCCAACACCAATGTTTTAAAGATAACCGAACGTATTTGAATTTGTAGAGAAATGCAACATAGTGCATGCTCCTATTTGTCCATGTAACACGTGCTCATTAATCCTAAGAAAGATATCAATAATTGGGTCCCCTGAGCTGACTGCTGCAGGAAGGTCAGTGCAAACCATTTTACTGTGCCAGAAGTTAACCCGATCGCCAGCACCCTGCGTGCCTTTGTGTGCCACGTGAAAGGAGAACCCCAAGTGTGACCTAAAATCCAGTCTTTCTGCCAAAGAGGGGCCATCAGCCTAACTCAACCTGCAAGCCCGGTTTATTCTTGGGATCTCCTGAAATATGAATCAAGAAGACAAAGAACAAAAGTGACACTGCGGAGCCCCGGGGAGAGGAACAGGCAGAGTGCTTCTCCCCAGTCTGGCTCCGTTGAGCCTCGCGGAAAAGGATGTTTTAACCATCAGAGCAGAAAGAGGACTAGCTGCCCCTCCATCCACACTGCCTTGTTGCACACTGAATGCGACTTGTTCGGATTCCAGGCGGAGAAAGCTGCAGAAGCCACGGTTCCTTTCCAGAGTGAAACTCAAAACCACAACCTCCGGTGCACAAAAGACAGAATGAGTCACAGGAAGAGGCCACTTGCTTGCAAAACTCATTAAAGGCAACGTCGGGCTGAATGGACTTCCTGCACCAATGAAAAGATGGCTGGCACGAGGACAGGCACCTCGAGGCGCTGGGGTTGGAGAGGGAAGCAGCCATCAGCAACGTGGGCACAGCTCAAGTCAGCGCCGCCTCGCACACACCGCCCGGGCCGGCTGCCCCGCCTGGAGTGCCCTCTGGCCTGCTCAGGCTCCCAGGACCCAGCAGCTCTGCATCAAAGGATCACGGCGCACCTGATGACTCAGGCAGGAGGCAGGCAGTCGTCCTGGGTCCCCAAGCTCCTTTGCAGGAGGGTGACTGAAGCCAGAGGATCCACCATGGCTTCCCGAGGGCTCAGTCTGAGGCAAGCAGACCTGTCCACACGTGAGCAGAACCCAGGGCTTACACCACATCCAAGGTCGGTGTCTGACCACAAACAAGCCTGAAACCCCCCACTATCTCACACACACACACACACACACACATACACACACACCACCTACTGCCCAGTCTAATTCTGTAGGTGAGGATCCAAGAACATTTTTTTATTTATGTTTGAGAGACACACAGAGCAAGCTCCCTTGTGCTGGCTCACTTCCACATGTCCACAGCAGGCAGGTGGCTAGCCAGGTACAAGCTGGCAGCTGGGAACTCCATTGAGATCTCCCATGTGGGTTGCAGAGACCCAACTCCATGAACCATCACCTGCCTGCTGCCACCCAGGGCCCAAGGGTGGGAAGCTGCTTCAGGATGAGGTAGGAGAAACGGGTGTCTCAGCCACCAGGCTATTCACTCACTCCAGCAATCTGTTTTTTCCACCAGCACCCTGAGGCTGGAGCTGCCAGGCCGGGAGGCTCCATGTGCTTTTCAGATCTGAACAACAAGAGCCACATTCTGTTCCTTTCTCCAAGCCAGCAATTTCGAAATTTGGGTTGTACCAACTGGAGACTCTTTGGTGCCAAAAACAGGCCCCTGTAAGAATTCCCTCCTCTCTCCCCAAGTCCAAACTAACTGCACCTGATGGCTCTCCAAGTCCAGGACTGCCCAGAAAGAGAGGCCTTTGTCAGAGCAGTCTTGTTTTTTTTTAAAAAAAAAAAAAAAAAAGCTGTGCTGTCAAACCAAAAGCAATGGTGCCCTCCAGTGGTCATCGGGCCCATAGCTGCACCCGTCGGGTTTTCTGGTTTCCTCTGGGCCCATGCTTGGCTTGCGAAGTGACATGGCCTCCTGTCAAGGTTGTAGACAATGGAAAGGGCCAGAAGCAACAAGCAGAAATCCTAGAGGCTTTCCCCTGACCTCCTAAGAGAGGGAACACAGTGCCGTTCTCACCATCTGGAGACAGAACACACACAACTGGGAAGGCCACTGAGTGAGGGTCCAGGGGATGCTGGAACCACTGGATGGGACTGAGTACTTGCTCCAGGCAGGACTCTGAGATGCTGTAAGCTGGCCTGACCGTGTCACTACTCTGGTCCTGCTGTGGTCCAAGGGCCACATGCATTCTCAGGCCCAAAGCCAACACGATAATCCCAGCTGTCCCTTGGCCTCCGATGCAAGGATGAAGGGCACTGCTATTTCAACTCTGTTCAAACGGGTTATAAAGCATCTTTGGTACTCAGGAATCACAGCGAGGTGTGGGGAGACACGCGCTATTGAACCAGTGACAGCTCACACAGCAGCCCAGGAAAGACCAGGAGACCCCTGGGCGGTCAGGGGGCCTGGCCATCGACAGCTGCTGGCAGGAGTTTGCACTTTTTCATCTCACTGTACTCATGAAAGCACCTGCACACTGATTTCGAGAGGCTAATGTCCTTCCATCCATTCCCAAAGCCCAGGCAGACACAGGCAGGTGAACAGAAGTCTCCTGCAATGTGAATGGCACACAGAACAAGAATTATGCCATGTTAAGCTTCCAAGCCTCCGTCAGTCAAGAATTTTGAAATTAAAATCAACGCATTTTCATACTCCACAGTCTAAGAACTTCAGGGTGGCAGCTGTGAGGTGCGGGACCCTGCAAGAGTTAAACCCACCTGTGCTGGGCCCAAAGGCGTTTCCTGAACCCTTATCTGCTCCTCACCTCCTCCTCCTCACACCTCCATCCCTCCCACTTACACACAGTGCTGGCACCTGAACCTACAACAACCCGCTGGATCCAAAGAGCGACAGCTCACACACCAGGGCAGATGCTGGCGAAGCGGTTAGAACACCAGCAAAGGAGACGGCAGTGTGCTTCTGCTTTCAACGTGGGCGTCACCTAACCAGCACTGCTCTGAGTCCCAGCAGCTCCGCTTCCGATCCAGCTCCCTACGAGTGCACCTGGGAAAGCACTGGAATGTCCTGGGGACTTGGGTCCCTGCCACCCACTTGGCATACCCAGAGTTCCTGACCTCTGGCCCCACCCTAGCCCATCCCAGGTCACTGCAACCATCTGGGCAGTAAACCAGTACAGGGGAACCTGGTTTTCTAGCCCTCCTTTTTCTGTCACTCTGCCTTCCAACTAAAAAAAATTTTTTTAAAACAAAACAGACACCGATTAGGACACCTGCATCCCCATCCATCCCAGCTCTGTCTTGCCAACGTGGACCCTGCAAGACAGCTTCTGATGGTTCCTGTCTCCCACGTGGGAGACCTGGTTTGCATTCCCAGCTCCCAGCTTCAGCCCCGGCGCAGCCCCGCCACCGCAGGCACGTGGAAAGTGACTCCCAACACTGGAGCTTACTTTTCTCTCTCTCTCTCAAGACAATAACATTTAAAAAGTTTGCATACCCAAATTTCAGTGAAGTCTTTCATCATTTTCATTTATTATAATATTTCCTAGCTTTGAATCCAGCACAACATAATGAAATTACTACAGTGATTTATCATTGCACCAGCACATACAAACACAGCCCAGACCCTGGAAATAAAATCTATTCAAAGCAGTGAACTGAACCTTACAAATTGAAAAAAGGAATTTACTTTAAACGTGTCATCATTTCTTCCCCCAATGTACTTAGTATATTTTTTTCAATATACCAGATACATAGATTTTTTTTCTATCACACGTGATAAGCATTTAATGACCTGTCACAATGGAGTGACCCACTTCCACAGGGTACCCCTGACATGAGTGTCCAAACACAGCATTCCTGCACACAATTTTGGGGAGGTGGTCACTGGGTGGCAGTCACGCACAGAAAGGCAAACCAGCTTGGCCCTGGGTTGGTGTGGCCCCCAAACAAGCCCTGCTGGAAGCGCAAGGCAGGTGTTAATACTGTAGAGCGGCAGGGCTCCCACTGACCTTCACACACAGATCCGCCACTGTGACTTTCCGGAAGGCGTGCTCTGTCTGGGTACAGTGATGTAGAAGTTCAAGATTCAGCATACCTGGGGATGAACCGTGTGAGGAGCGGGCGGGCACCCACCCCTCCCCTGCACCAGCAGAACCTTCACAGGCCTGAGAGCTTAGATTTGGATCCCAGCAGTTAAGAAGTACTCAAAAATAATTACTGTGGCTTCTGTGCACCGCTGGGAGCAGGCCCATAGAAACGAGCTAAGATGGGACTCTCTCTAGTTCTTGTTAATATGTCCGTGAGAAATCTGCCTGTGCAAGTCTCTGCTTCCATGTACATCCACGACCCCGGCCCAGGTGCCTGCCACTGCCAGCGCCCGCCCCGGCCCGGGGACCTGCCACTGCCAATGCCCGCCCCGGCACGGGTGCCTGCCACTGCCAGCGCCCGCCCCGGCACTGGTGCCTGCCACTGGCAGCGCCCACCCCGGCCCAGGTGCCTGCCACTGCCAGTGCCACCGGCTGCCGCAAGGCAACAAGGCCACGTTTACTTTCACAGTAAGGTTTCCTTCAGTGGCTCTGATTCTGCTTCCTGTGCGTCTCACCAAGGAACTGCAGATAGGAAAGCATTTCAACCATCGGCATAAAACACTCTTTAAAAAAATAATACTTCAAAAAGTAAAGCAAAATCTGTTACCAAAATAATTCTCTTGCTTTTCACATTGTTCTTTGCTACAACAAATTTCAACAGCCAAGTAAGAGGCTCTCCTTCCATCAGCTTCAAGAACACCACTCAGATTAAATACTTTCTCACCTGCGCTTAATTTGAGTGGAAGAGGCTGATTGATTTACAAATCAATTGCTCATAAATTCCAGTGCCTGAGATGCGCAGAAATAAGCCTCCTGGGACAGTCCGACACAGCCTTTGAATAGCCTGAGGACAGCTGTAACTGAAAGACCGTGAGCAAAACCCTGGCTCGGTAGCCCAAAAGTAATAAATAATACCAGCCAAGAACACAGCCCGAGTCCTTCCCGCCGCTAGCACTCCGGGCAAGTCCCAGCCCAGCGGCCGAGGACACGTGGTCAGCAACGAGTCGGGAGCTGGCGACGCCCACCGGCCTCAGCGGTATTCACCGTCCTTTCGGTTTAAGGCATTGGAGCTAGACACAGCGCATTCTAAATAACATCTGCCGCAGCTGCATTAAGGCATAAATATCCCGGCTTCGGGTCACGCAACACGGAGCGACGGGGATGAGGGGGCGGGGGATGCGCCAACGCCACCGGCCATCTTGGACCAGAGGCCTGGCTCCGGCAGAGGCGGCCGGGATCCCCCCACCGCCCTTCCTACCAAGGACCGTCCTCCCCGTCCCGCCTTCCTCACACGGTCCGGTCTTCAGCCATGGGAGGCGGCGCCGGGCAGGCCGGAAGCAGCGCCCAGCCGGCCGGAAGCAGCGCCCAGCCGCGCAGGCGTCCCAGGCGGCCGTGCCGGGGCGCCGGGCGGAAGTGTCCATCAATCAGGCTCCCGGCGCCACGTGCCCTAAGCTAGCCTTTAATGGCGACAGCCAGGCGGAGGCGAGGCGGAGCAGGGGCACAAGCCGCGGCTCGGCCTCATGCCGAGGCCGAGTGGACGTCCTGGTTCTCAAAGGGCGGCGGCGGCTCCCGCCAGAAGGTGAAGTTGCTGAAGGTGTCGGAGCAGGGGAAGTCTGAAGAATGGCTTCTTTTCAGCAGAGGGAAGACGTGGTCGACCACCTCACAGAGCCGCACGTACCTGCGGGAAGAGAGGCGTGGTCAGCGCCCGGTGCCAGGGCAGGGAGGCCACGGCCTCCTTCACGGGACCTCGGGCCTCCCCGCACGGTTACATGCACAGGCCAGGGCACGGAGGCGGGCCTCCCCGCACGGTTACACGCACGGGCCAGGGCCAGTCACGCACAGGCCAGGGCACAGAGGCGGGCATCCCCGCACGGTCACCGCAGTCACGCACAGACCAGGGCACAAAGGCGGGCCTCCCCGCACGGTCACCGCTGTCAGAGTCGCTCACGCACAGGCCAGGGCACAGAGGAAGGCTGCCGGTGCACGCACAGGTGACAGGGCCGGCCACACAGGCCCCGGCGGGGGCTCACAGCCAGCCCGAGGCTGCGTCCATCCTGGGCACACAGCTCTCCGAGCCACCACCTCCCCCGCTGAAAGGGAGGAAGATGAAGGTAGCCAGGCCCTAACAGGAGAATTAAGAGTGCCCCGAGCGACCCTGTAAGGTGGGGTGGGCACTCTGTGGCCCCCCACACTGCCGGGCCCACCGCTGCCTCCCTGCCCGGATCCTGCCCCCGCGGGCCTCAGGCCAGACTGGAGCAGCTTTCTCCATGCTCCGGCCAGTGGCCCTCCCCCTGCAGCCTCTGCAGTCAGGCAGGCCCCTGCGGGAGGGTCAGAGGCCTGTAACGCCCACTAGGCCTCCCCAGACCACCAGGCACCTCAAGCAGAGTGGTTGGGCCTCCTAGGCCTCCCACTTGTCCCCAGACTCCACCGTGACAGTCACTGGGCCCCTCTCCAGTTCCAATTTGCTAAGAACCCAAAGGCATTTCGAAATCCAGACTCCAAGAATCAGTGTGTTCTGAGGCATAAAACAGCTCATGAAACGAGGACAAGTGTGTGTGTTTAATAAAGGGCCTTCGAATGGCTTAGGAGGGGTGGCGTGCCTGCACGGAATGGGGGAAATCTCTCAATAGAAAACCAAGAATTATGCCTTTCCTGGGGATTAAAACAAACAAATTTTTAAAAGGCCTCCTGGTTATAAGGCCTATTTGTTTGTGGTTTTGTGGCTATGGGAGGCACTGGTCCCCAGGGGCATGGTTCCCTGCCACACTGCGGTAGGCACTGGATCCGGACCCCCTCTGCTCTTGGGCTCTCAAGGGCGGGGCTGAGCTCAGCCTGGGGGCTGGGCAGAGCTCACGCACAAGATGCTTTGACCCAGAGTGGGCCCATCCAGCACAAGACATTTCAGAGAATGGTTCCTGGCTCCAAAGATGAGGCATCAGCTCATGTTAGAAGGCCTGTGCCCAGGCGCTGGCCTTGTGGTACAGCAACTTAAACTGTCACGTAACACACCAGGGTACCATGTGAGTACCAGTTGGAATCCCAATAGCTCCACTTCCAATCTAGCTTCTTACTAACACACCCAGGAAAATAATGAAAGATGGCCCAAGTCTTGGGCTCCAGCCATCCACGTGGGAGACCTGGATGGAGTTCCTGGCTCCTGGCTTCAGCTTGGCCCAGTTCCCATCATGGAGACCATTTTGAGAAGTGATCAGCAGACAGAAGATCTGTTTCTCCCTTTGCCTGTCACTCTGCCTTTAAATAAACAAATCTTAGCGATAAAAGAAGAAAGGTTATACCCAGTTCAGTGCCAGGGAGATGTACACTCAAGGGGGGCGGGGAGGTGGCAGGGTTAGAATTCGTTTCTCATAGGAAGAGCCCCAGCCAGAATCCAGAGCTCCTGCCGTGGACAGGCCCACCCCAGGCCAGCCCAGGCCAGACCATCCTAACCCGAGTCTCAGGGGACAGAATGACCTCATGGGCCCCTGGGACAGGTTCTCAAAGAGGTAGGAATCCAATCCAAGGACCTCACAGCCACACCTGCCACTTTCCCATTCCTGGCCAGAATTAGTCAAGGTTCTCCTTGACCCTAAACCAAAGCCCCACTGGACTCTCTGCAGACTAAGGCTCTCAAAACTTGCCGTGTGAGAATGCCCTGCACAGAGAGAACAAGGAGAGGGCATGCTGTCGGGGTCAGCCACCTGGAGCGAAGGAATGGGTCAGGGACAGGAAAGCCAGTTCCTGCCGGGTGCTGCCAGCCACGGCGTCTGTGGCCCGACACCGGCTCCTAGCACAGAGGAGCAGGGTCCTGCCTCCAGCATCTTACCACACCACACTCAGAGGACTCCATGGGTTCCAGCTGGACATTGGGTATGGGACCTATAGGGGAGCCCCAGAACTTCATCTAGCCTAGAACCACTGTGCTATATAAAACCCCCAGTAGTGGGATCACCTTGAGAGTAAAAGTGTACCCCAAGGGGGCTCAGATCTCCAATTTACCCAAAATCACTGGGCAGTGCTTGCAGGGCCCCATCCATGGAAACCTGTCTGAACTGAACACCCCTAGTCAGGAACCTCTGGCTGCAAAGCATCATCAGGCACCTGGGGGGCCACTCAGGCCACAGGTTCGTTCTCAGACCCAAAGAAGCAGTCTAACATGGATGAGGCTGGGTGACAGCCATCAGCCTGGGCTGATTCCACCCAGACACCAAGGCTCCCATCCTCCAGGAAGTCAGGAGACCAAACCAGCACATAAAAACAGTATGTGAAGACACACAGGGTTTCTCATCTTTAAAATATGGTCCCATTTGGCAAATCTAAACTACTGGTTCTCAAATTCATTCCATTCCATTCTGGTGGCGGAATCCAACCAGTAAGCTTAAATTGCAGACCCAGAAGCCTAAAAGTTTAAGTTTCTCTGCAAAAGGCAAGGAGTCAATATCTGCTTGTGCTTGTGGGATGAGAGCTGGAGACGAAGACGGTGTAGCGCCCAAAGGCGCCCTGGGAACGGGAGGGAGCAGGGCTCAGGAGCACGGAGGAGGGGACCATACTCACGACGAGATGTTGGTCTTGGCATGCTCCTGCACCAGCTCTCCTTTGGGGTTGACAGTGAATATTCTGTTCAGAGACACTCCTACTTGTTTATACGAATACACATCCTAGATTTAGGAAAGGAGATTTAAAATGGCCATTAGGAAAAAAGAGGTCACTGTGGCAATGAGTAAAGAATGTTTCTGCCTGGGTGTATTGTTATCAACTCCCCACGAACCAGAGCTAGGCAACGAAGAATATTCCCCCGTGGGACACAACTCGAAGAGTTTTCCTCCCTGGGTCTCGAGTCCTTCAGCTGTTCAGGAGCAGAGTTAAAAAGCAGGCACCCTCCCTCACCACCTTCAAGGCCAAGTTTCCTGGAGGCTGTTCTCTGGCCTATTTTCCCATTTCAAGAAAATCTGCTGTGACTGCTCAAAGGAAGAGAATTTCTGGCCAAGCATGATACTCACCTATGTTCTCAAGAATACCGAGATATCCAGGAGACATGGGCAGCACCCCAAAATCTCCAAGCACCCTCCCACTAACTGCGATGATGCTGGATTCTAACCAGCTGACCCACTGAGCACCCCTTTCTAGTTGGCACTGGATTGAGGTACCTTCTAATCCCATCACATGCTCCAGCTTTATTTATTCCAGTCCTACATCCCAAGCCTCAAACCCACTCGTTAACCTTCAAAGAAACCTAGAGATCAAAAATGACTTTTCATTTCCTTGCCTTTAGAGATATAAGCAAGTAACTATTTACCAGCTTATTTCCTACAGGATAGGAATCTGGCTACACACATCGATCTAGACTTTCAGGTGACTGGGCTCACAAAAGAACAAATCCCAGAACTTTCCAAAACACAGTACTTACCGCAGGTCGGTTTCCAAAAGCAGCATAAAATGGCTCTGTATTTGGGAAAAACAGGTTCTTAATGTCTGTCAAACACTGGACTTTAAACTTTTCTGGTTTCTTTTCAATCACTTCTCTGTTGAAACAAACAACAATTGATCAGCAAAGAGTCATTAGCATCAAACTGATTTTTAAGTCAAAACTGCCTGAGGGGCTGGCATGGTGGCCCAACAGGCTAATCATCCATGCAAGCGCCAGCATCCCATACAAGTACAGTTTTGTGTCCCAGCTAGCTGCTCCACTCCCCATCCATCCCCCTGCTTGTGACCTGGGAAAGCAATAGAGAAGGGCCCATGTCCCTTGGCCCCTGCATCACATGGGAGACCTGGAAGAAACCCCTGGCTCCTGGCTTCAGATTGGCTCAGCCCCGGCCTCAGTCAATACAACTATTTGGGAGGTGAATCAGCAGATGCAAGACCCTCCAACCCCCACCCCACTGAACCAGCCTTTCAAATAAATAAATCTTTAAAAAGCACCCTTTCACCAACAGACAAGACAGTCCAGAAACAAAGCCACGTGTCATTAGACATTTGAGCTGTGGGAAGAGGACAGAGGAAAATCTGTGTAAGAAAAACAAAACCTTTTCATACCCCTACTTCATTCTATCTAAATAAACCAATTCCTGGTAGATTATTGCCCTAAATGTGAACAAAAATACCTTTAGATAAGACACAGGAGATTGTCACTGTGCCCTAAGGAAGACTATGATGTAACATACAAAAAGCACAGACCACAGTAGAAATGTTCCACACACAGGAACTGGCATCCTTCAAAAGCTGCAAAGCAGGAAAAGATATTTGCAGCATTCACACTGTGTATACAGAATATGTAGTATACTCTTCCAAATAAGAAAGAGAACAAAAGACTTGGCACAGGTGCTCACAGAAAAGGGGACCCATGGGGCCAATACACACGTGAGAAGAGGCACTTCACACCCAGAAGTCCAAGAACATGTCGGCAAGAAAGTAGCACCAATGGAACACCTTTCATCTGTGCTTGGATGCTAACCTAGCTCTCCCACTGTGGGAAGCAAGTTGGAATAACCCAATAAAGCCAGGTACGTGTGGACTTCATGGCCCAGCAATTCCACTCTTTTATATAACGCCTGGAGCAACGATGGTATATGGAACACACAGAAGAAAAAATCTAGAAAGGTCTCCAGCATCCATCAAGAATGGAGCTGATAAATCACGGTGGCAGGGTAGAAAACCACACAACAGAGGAGTAAAACCAAACTGCAGTTGTACTCAACCTTATCTTGGGAACAGCACATTGGAAAAAAAAATCCAAAAGAACTGAAGAACTCAGGACTTTCTTTTCTATAAAGTTGAGACACAGTGGTGATAAAACTATTAAGAAAAATAAGGAATGAAGAGAATGAAATTCAGGAAAATAGCAGCTCCCACCACCAAGGACAGCAGTGGGAACTTGGGGTGTAAGGTCAGCTTTCTTTCACTCGGCGACAGGCACCCTGGTGGCCACTGCAATTATCGTTCAGGATATTCTCATGTACCTAATCATTTCAATGATACTGTCCATGATGAGGAAGATGGAACACAACTGAACTGTGGCCTCAGCATCCTCCTTTACCACTAAAACGTGGGCTATGCATTCTACAGCTCAGGACTCTGACGGATAACATGAGTGACTTATAATGATAAGTCTCAAACCACAGTCCACCAAGGCACTTCACCCAAATTCCACTGCCTGTTGCAGCCTCTCCCTGCCCACCTCTGTCACACATGCACACATGATGCCTCCTGTGGAATGGGGACACCCAGGGAGGAAGTGGCAGAGGTTGCCTGAAGCATCCACTGAGAATGGTACCCACTGCTCCCTGGTGGATCCTGTCCGCCTGGTGATCTTCAGTTGCTGATCTCCCGCCTCCCTTCACCCCCAAGGTGATTTTTCCAAGTCTTCAGGAACCAACCAAGCTGCTTCAGGAAGATTTTCTTCTTCCCAGAGATAGAGGCGCCACATTGGCCCCAGCCCTGTCCCTGAGCCTGGAAGCCTACAGCTGTCAAGGCTGCCCTGACCTGCTGCCTATGGGCTCCAGTCGGCCCTACCCTCCTGAGCCAGGTGGACGGCTTGCTGCGGCTGACCATGCTGTCCACTGTGTCACCAGAGTCCCTCTCTTTGCAACTCATAGCAAGGTTGAGGGCCTGGGGCAGCTAAGGTGTGCCTTGCTAAGGAAGATCGTTGGTGCTGATGGCCAAGGTGCCCAGCGGTTTTGGACAAACCACAGGACAGCCACCAGGGACACCTCTGACCCCTAAGGGGATGTCCAAATGGTGGCATTTCATTGCTCTGAGTTAATTTTTCACTAGGAACAAGTAACACATTGTGGACAATGATATACAAATGTCTAAATAAAATGGATCACGTTTGATTTACTTTTTAGAGTAGGGATGTCAGAGTGACGCTAACCACCTCTGCCCAAGCCTGGCCAAGCCTGGCCTTCACTCATGCTGCAGAGTGAGGTGTGGCCGACGGTGAGAAGGCCTCGCGACACATCTCCAGTGCAGTCGAGATTTCTGACAACTCCGAGAACTTGAGATATAGCAGGCGTCATCTACATTTCACCCCAAAACACGCCAAGTCTCCACATGAGAACACTAACCCTAGGGGATTAGTGCCGGGCGCGAGGGGAGGGAGACCTTTCGCTCACACAGAACAAGGCAGGAGTATAAAGGTTTCTCTAGCTCTAAAGACAGCTTAATAATCCACATGGCTCTTCAGGACCACCGAGACTTTCCCACCACTTGCACGGTTGGCAGCAGCAAGTGGCATCTTGGGTCCTCAAATTCAGGTCAACTCATGCCAAGGCCTTGCCCAAGGTCTTACAAAGACTCACCATCTACCTTCGGCAGGGATCCAGACCCTGAAGTTGCTCATGAAAAACCTTGCACTAAGAGGAGTCAGCCCCGGGAAAGCCCAGTGTTTTCCACCCCGCCCCCATGGGGGTTGCCTGTCCGTAGGGATGGCAGGAAGGCACTCTGTCAGCAGGAGGTCCACAGGGGGACCTGTCCAGCAAGGCCAGGTTGAGGTAGTAGTTGGTGGATTCTCTGAGACATGAGGCAGGAGTGGACTCTCCAAGAGCCATGAAGACTGAGGAAGATGGGAAAAGGTACCCCAAAGAGGAGGAGAGCAAGTGCACAGGCATCTAGGAGGGAAGACCAGCTGCAAAGTGCAGACAGCTCGGAAAGGCAGCTCCCTGGCTTGGACTGTAACCACACAGCCTTGCTGAGCCATGAACGGTGGTGCTAGGGCCAGGCCTGTAACCACACAGCCTTGCTGAGCCATGAGCGGTGTGCTGGGGCCAGGCCTGTGCTTCCCACGGTGTTACTGTTTTTTCCCTCTGGTGACCACTAGGAAATGGGTTGGAGACCAGGTCAGCAGCCATTTCTTGCAAACACTGCGATGGGGATGATGGAGGGGGCCAAGCAGCCCCCAGATACGGGCACAGTACCTGTGCAGAGCAGAGAAGAGGCTGCTGGGGCTGAGCAGCAGCGGCCCCTGTGGCAGCACAGTGCCACGCTCGTTGACCCAGTGCAGGTAGCCCCGCGTCATGTCTGCCATCCCGATGGCACGTGCTGAGCAGTAGAGGAACTTGTATCCATTCCTGAAAGACAGACAGACACCTCTGGTCAGCAGCCATGCTGAGCCCTCATCTCCCTCTGTTCCTCAACAGACTGAAGCTGTGTCTGAAAAGTCACCCTTCTGACTGCCCACACCATTCTCCCAGTGAGAAACGAGGCAACGTCTGCATGCAGCGTCGCTCCACATATCTTAGCAAACAGCAGCACGGCAAGCCCAGGTAGGAGGCACAGGCCCCGGCCTCCTGGGCTCCCGTGACACCTGGTCCCAGCACCACGGAGCTGCATCCCACTACTCCCAACAGCCCTGAACACCCTTCCCTACTTCCAAGAGGGTGCCTCGCAGCCACCCAAAAGCACCAAAAAGCACAAGTGCACAGAGTCAAACCCTCCCAGGGCTGGCTCTGCCTCCCAGAGTCTCAGCTCTTGCATAGGCAGGAACCCTGGGCCTCCCATGCCGGGCAGCGTCTGCTACTGCTCTCTGCTGGCCGACCTCACGGGGTGCTCTCCACTCCTCCTGCCGGTCCTGCAGTGTCCTTCTCCAGGCTTGGACACTCCCTTCCCTTCTCTAGGTCTGCACTCAAATCTCTCTTCTGAAACACACAGGCTCCTTCCTCAGCCAGGCGCTGGCTTTGGACTCCGTTTCAGTGTCCCTCATAGCATCGTCCATGAACTCCATGACAGCGGGACCCTGTCACGTGTCTGGCCACAGTCCGAGCTCAGGGACACCTGTCAGGTGAATGAATGTCAGCCACCTGCTTCCCATCCCACTGAGTGGGTCTGTCCACTCCACAGCCCATTGAGTGTCCCGCCCTGAAGATGTGGCCAGAGGGTTAGTCTTCATCACCACTGAACACTGTGGACAGGAAAGCATCTAGAAATACCAACTTATTTAAAATCATGATTTGCTTCTGCAAATCAAGTAACCTTTTGAATTAAACATCTCTGTATTTTAGCTAATTAATGCAATCTCTGAAACAAAAATCAGTATTTCTGAGTACAGCTCTTTACATCAAAGTCCTAAAAGCTGCCACCTGCATGGGCCTGAATGCTAATTCTGCTCAAAATTTGATTTTGAAACACATGTTCATCACTGGAGCTTGGCACAGAGCTGCTGCCACCATGCAAGCTTTCTGCTTCAAAGGCCACCAGGCATTAAGAATCACTCCCAAGATGCCCTTGGAGGCAGAAAACACTTGTTGGTGGCATCAGAAATGACCCTCACAGAACCTCACCCGATCAACAGACACTTCCTGCAACACCCACACTGGCCACACCCCATACTCGGGGGTGCCCCTTGCAGAAAGATCCTGTCAGAAGGACAGCCAGTGGCAGGACACACCCCAAGGGCCACACCCTCTGAGGCTTCTTCAGCTACTCTCACCAAACACTCCTATATCCAGCCCTGCACTGGCGGGGTGTGGGAGGTGCCCACAGGAGCAGAGCGCCCTGTGGGGAAAACTGGCCACCCAGACTCAGAACAGGAGACAGAGCAGGCGTGGGATGTGGGACAGTACGGGCCTAGGGAAAGGTGCTGCCAACATGTGTGGGTCTGCTCTTGGTCCTCCACGACCCTTGGCAACTGGCCCAGAGCACACAGGGAGGAGCAGTGCGTGTCCCTGCTCAGCTCAGCTTCACCTCTGGTCCTAAATCCCTCCCCGTATCTGGACACACAGGCCCAGCAAGGTGCAAAGGTGACCCTTGCAAGTACATTCCACGGTCAACTTCTGGGCTGGGGTTTCTTAATACCAACATGGGAGACCAGCACCTTAAGGTCCAGCAAGGCCATAGCATGGCAGGCAGGGCACACCCCAGTCAATGATGACCTAAACAGCTCCAGTCACTGCCATGTCCATCCTGGGGAGGGCTTCTGCTGGAAAGAAAAGTGACCCCGGGTCCCTTCTGTGGTCCCAGAAGGAAAACAGCACCTCCCACGCTCAAGGGAGGCCCTCTCAGCCTGGCCTCCGGGCCCTCTGCCATCCTGGTCCTCACGGGAGGCCCTTTCAGCCTGGCCTCCAGGCCCTCTGCCATCCTGGTCCTCACGGGAGGCCCTTTCAGCCTGGCCTCCGGGCCCTCTGCCATCCAGCTCACTCCTGTCCTGCTTTCACTTTCTTTCTCTCCTCCTTCTGTAAGGACCTCCCCCTTCCAAGACCTTCCCCCTGCACACTTCAACTCCCAGCCTCTCCTCTGCTTCCTGCTCCCCCCAATGATGAGCTCTCCTCCTTTCAAACTCTACCCTTCCATAGGATTCTGCCCCAATGTCAGCATTTCATCCAAACCCTTTTAAGATGAGCAACTTCTCACTGTCCTGGTCTGCCACCGCCAGGGTCTGCTCCCTCGCAATCACAGCTCCTTGAATGAACCAGCCACTCAGCATTACTGGATGCTTGCCGACCTCCATGCCCGCACAGTGCCTGCAGCAGCCCCTGAGCGTGGCAAGGGCACACCCTGGATCCTGGCTAAGTCCTCTGAGCCCTGAGATACAGCAGCAGTACATACACTTGCACAATTCAGCCACACGGTTGGCAGATAGTGAAGCTAGCGGTGACCTAAGGGATCATCTCGTCTCTCACTGCAGAGGAGAGGAATCCGCAGCTTAGGGTGGGGAGCAGACTTGGCCCAAAGGCATTGCTTCCAGAATGCACGCCCAGATCCTGATCAGATTCCATGTACCACATCACCCCAGCTTCCACTGACAGAGAGCACTGACTTCAAGCAACCCACAAGACTTCAGGGGAAGGTGCAAGACACCAGCTGTGGGCAGGAGAATGGACAGAGCCCAGACGATCTGATGGCTCCTCCCCTGTTGCACATCAAGCCCGAGGTGTCACTCGGCTCAGGCCAAGTCTGTGTAAAGACACTAAGTAGTCCTGCTCACTGTGTCATAGAGGCACTGATGCCTGATCAAATGACCACAAAAGTCAACGTCACATGGAGGTGGACAAGCAGAGTGATGCAGAGGAGACGACAAGAGTTAGCTCAAGGCATGGGTTCTGACCCAGAGCAGCTTGCTGGGGACTGCAGCGTTTGGGCCAAGCCTCCAAGGTTGCACAAACACCAACAGTGAAGACCAGGCCCAATGGCCCAGGAAGTCAAGGTCATCACACCAGCCAAGGCAGGGAGACAGACAGGGAGCCAGAGCAGGCACAGAGTCAGGCAGAGCAGCAGGTCATCAGCCAGCACGAGCATGTATTTCTCTTCCTGTCAAGTGATACGTACGGAGGCCCTGAAGGCCATGGCCAAGCTGTATCTGAGGGAGGCTGCTAAGGAACCACCTCTGCAGGCCACCGCACCAAATCTCAGTCTCCATGTCAAATTACACCACATCACCCAAGAACTACCTACCAAAGGATGAGGCGGCGTGCGCACATCCTGGCCGATGGCTGTTACGTGTTCTCTACCAGCCAATCGGGTAGGGATGATCAGGGTTACCTGGGAGATTACACTTCTTTATTTTCCAGGAGGATCTCCCTTCTGGGAAAATTCTACACACACACAAGCAACCAGGTTTTTTTCAGTGTGACAGTAAGGACGAGAAGAAAGACTGATGTCGCCACGATGACTGCGGGCTGTGATCCGCTCGGCATCCTGACCCAGAAGGGCTTAACTTCTTTCAACTAAAAATAAATGCACTTTCCAGGGTCAGGCAAGTTGCAGCAGCCCCTGAGTCCATTCATCTTGCTAAAAGAAAGGGCGGCTGAGGGCCCCCAGGGGCAGGCCTGCACACTTGCTGCCTGCAGCAGTAACGCTGGGAGAAGCTTTCCCGGGTGAGTCAGCAATATTGATTCCATCTTCCCACCTGCCCGTTCTATGGCTGGCAGGCCTACTGGTGAGTATCAATTTCTCAGCAGCACCTCCCTGGGTATGTGTGTGTGGCCACCCTATGTCCACACGCAGCAGTATATGCCATAGATACTGAGTGTCTACATGGGTTCCATCATGGCGGGAGACAGCACACGGTGGGGAAGTAACCTCCCTGGAGCTGCCCGCAGCAGGACTGATGAAGTACAGCATAGCCACAAGTGACAACTCTGAACAGCAGCTATAAATACAGTAAATCTGACCCAGAACAAGACAAGAAAATGGGATCCACAACTGCGTGATGTGAGAGCTGAGTTTTTGAAGCATAGGAAGACAGAGCCAGACTGTGCAGGGACCTCCGCCTGGACAGAGTGGACTAGCTTGGCAGCAGGGCAGAGACCTTCGCACTTGCAGTGACCTTGGCCTCTTCTATTCTTTCTCCCCGTGAAGCAGGCACAACTTCCCTGACACTGTTAAAGGTGAGCCCTAGAAGAGTCAAAGCCACGAGCCAGACACCGATGAAGAAACCAAGGCCCACAGTCCCACCGGCATGTCAGGTCTACTCTGCACATCCCTGCTCCCAGCTGGCCACTGTGTCCAGTTCATAAGGACCCCGAGCTCCTGCCCCAGGTTGGCTAGCCTACAGGCAGCCAACACAGCTCATCTACTTCATTCACCTGTGGTAGAGAGTTTCCCAAACAGCTTCGGCCATTCACCCACTCCATACTCCCCACCACCCGTAGTGTGGGCCAGCAGAGAATACGGCAGGTTGGGCATCAGGGCCTAGGCATCCTTTAATGACATTCACCCTGAGTGTAACTCCCTCCCCACATCGTTGCTGCCCTGAGTGACACCAGCACCACCCAGCTCTAAATGCACACTGATCCCAGAGGGAGGCTTGCACCCCATGAGCCAGTGTGAAGGATGGAGAGCCCCTGGAGCCAAAGCCAAGCAGGAGCCGTGACCTGGGAGCGCAGTCAGAACGCACTCTGCCTTTGCAGCTCTGAAATCCTGCCACTCTCATGTTCACGCCACTCATAGTGCCATGCACTGCTTCTCGGTGCTGCTCGGAGATCTCAGTGAGGGTGCACAGGAGGGGCCTGACCCACCGCAGCAAGCTGAAGTCCCCGCTGTGGGCCTCACGGTGGCTGCTGCCCTACTTCAGGCTGCCGCTAGTGCATGCCATGAAGCCAGGACTCAGGTGCACACCACATCGGCTGGCTCGCAGGCCTGACACCACCACTTTTCAGAATCAGCAACCTTCACAATATGCTTTCTGGCTCAGCACATACAAATTTCCATTTCTTTGCCTGCTCACCTGATGTGCCTGGCTACCCTAAATCCCTCCTAAGAAGACCACCTCCTTCCCCCTCAGCATTTCCTTCGCTTCTTGGTACTGAATTCATATTTCCAGGTGTCTGGACGCACCATGCACCCAGGATTTGCCACAATAGCCCGCCCACTCCCACTGCAGCCCCTCAGTATAGCCACAGCCATCTTAGCAAGCCCTGAAGTGCCTGACAGGAAAGAGTGTGGCGTGCACCAAGCAGGTGTGGAGATGGCAGCCAGGAGCTGGGAGTCAGAACTCTATACTTACTGGCTTACTTTATGGTATAGCTTCGCAATACCCTGATGGGTCCAATCCTTCCCAAGTGTGGGCAGAATGTGGCCCAGAGTATCCGATCTAAATAAAGATAAAAACAAAAGAAATCAAACAAAAAGATCGCCACATCGGGGGGGAAAGTCCGTTAAGATTCGTGGTGTCACGAGTGATGGTAAATAAGACTCTGAGGACAGCCTCCGCAGGTGGAAAGAGCTCAGGTCATCAAATAAGGATGTGCACAGACAGGCAATGCCCCCAGAAGAGAGAAGGGCACCTCCCACCTGGTCCCAGTGCCCGAGGTCCTTGTCATGGACAACCAGGGCAGAAGACCACGCGCTATACAAAAATTCACCGAGCCCTGAATCCAACCACTGACATGAAAGAACTCAAACCACAGGAGCAGCTCTGACAATACCAGACACGGAGCCTGAAGAACCCCACTGCTGCTACCCTGCAGAAGTGTGGAGGGGGCCAGCTCCAGGCCCGAGGGCCCCACCTGGAGGGAAAGAAGGCTGCCAGGGCGCCGGGTGGGCTGGACCCACCTTGTGATGGTCCCGTCGATGTCCGAGATGATGACTTTGTCGTCCCAGTCCCACAGGTAGATGGTGCCCTCACAGCGGCAGGTGCCTTGGTACTGCGTGGTGACACTGAAAACCACGTCGTTGGGGCCATTCTTCAGCTTGAGGCTTTTCTGAAACATGAACAGTTATCAACACCCCCAAGAGCAGGGCCCGGACCGGCGGCTGACTGAAGCCGGAAGTACAAAAGCTATCCTATGCAGCGTTTCAGCCCAGTCACACACTTGTCTCCAGGAATGCACAGGCCAAGCCTAGGAAGTCACACTGAGTGCCACCACCAGGATCATCCGCCTCTGGAGTGTCTGCGACATTCACAGGCCACATAAACTCCTCAACTGAAACATCAGATCTCCCCAAGCTCCCATGCTGCCCGAGTTGCCTCGGCAGGGCCAGAGCCAAACTCACGGGCCTTCCCCATCACTGTGGGCACAAGTGGCCCACATGTCCGTGAGCTGCTGTCCCCCATGAAACACCATCACAGCCGTGCCAGCTCTCGCTGCCTCTTAGCACGCATACCTAAGACTTCATTCTTCAGGCATATTTGCTCATGCGCTAACAACGGCTTGAAACAGGCACCAGGGACAGAAAGGAACTCTATAAAAAAGTCTTCCCACACCTGAGGGGCCTTCACAAAATTCACGAAAAATACAGATCATGAAAAGCAAAAATTACGTCTGGATTTCAAGCAATTTTATGCCGAAATAAATATTATCTTTTAGTTCCATCTTCCATGAACTTTTCTCAGCACTCTTCCGCACACTCAGACAACGACGCTGTGGCCCGACAATTCCCCTGTCCATCCCAACCACTGGCTCCCCAGCAACTGAGGGGTGTAACAGCCTTAACAAACATCTCTCTTGATGCAAAACCACCTCGGAGAGTCCCTGTGGTCATTACTCTCACATCTCGAGACAAACCCACTCAACCAGGGTCATCCCCCGCATGACTGAAAACGCAGTGAGAGAAAGGCTGCCCCTGGAGGCCAGCCTGAGCAGGTGCTGAAGTCATGGGGTCAGAGGTCATCGAAAGATAACAGGTGCACTGTGATGGGAAAGGTGGCAGGATGTAGAAGCGGGAAACACATGAGGACCCTCAGGCCAGCCTCAGAGACAGCACGCTGTGACCACAGGGTGACCACAGGGTGACCACAGGGTGGCGAGGAGCCGGCCATGGCCACGGTGAGGCCCACTCACCAACTGCTCTGATGTAAGCCTCAGCGTCTTCTTGTAACTGACGTTGGACAACAGCGGGAGGTGGCTCATGTTGGACAGCTTGGCGGCTGCATGCTCTTCATCGCTGGAGGATGACTCGTGCTTTATTCTAGAACACACAGTGATGTCATTGCCCATGAGGAGACATATCCAGGTAGCCATTAAGAAGGAATCAGCCACAAAGCTCAATGACCAAGCTGGCTGGGCCCGCCCCTGCACTGTCTCTGGGATGGTTACTGCCCAGTGCACCACCAGCACCCCGTGAGCCCCCGACACACCCACCACCTGACTCACACGAGGGCAGCCTCTCCGTGCTGCCTGTGCACCAGCACGCTGCTCTTCATGGAAACGAGTGACTCGCCATAGGCCCGAGACACTGCTGACACACTCTTTCTCTTCTTCTCTTCTCTCCCAATTGGGGGCCACAACCAAGCATCAGGAGTCTACACTTCTACAAGGCCAAACTCCTCAGCTCCCTGCCTGTGCGTGTACTCTGCCAAGCACCATGCCTGTCCACCTGCCCAACCCACAGGCGATGCCCCTAGTCATGCTGGGGGGCCCAAGGCACGTGCAGCATCTGCCCGTCTTCTACAGGCAGTGCACAGAAGGCAAATGCAGGGCTAGTTGTTCCCTAGATGGAAACTCTGCTGGGGCTCACCCCCTGAGCAGCACTGGCACTGTCTCCCAAGGCCACTGTCCCAGGCAATGCCTTACACATGCTTGACACCGAAGTCAAAGGCTACAGCTGCCAAGCAGGCAAGGCCTCACCCTTCGCAGCACTGCCCCATCCCTGCAAGGGCTCATGGGACACTGCATGCCTTGCGCCATCTATGGAAAACACCAAAACACCTGGGCGGGTACTTGACCAGCAGCCGTGAGCAACAGCAAGTCAGCACTTGTCACGTGCATGCTTCCAAATGCCACCTTAACTCCCTGCTCGGTGACAAGCTGTCTGCTCAATGCCGGCACTTCCGAGGCCATCCCGACAGTCGGGCCTGTCAAGGAGAACATTCCACAGCTTTCTTCTACTTCTCAGTCAACTGCTTTAACTAATGAGGAGAACCCAACCACATCTACTTGACAGGGAAAAGCTTCCTCCATCAGCTGTTGAGATGACTGCCTCGCCAGCCACCCATGGGCAAACCACACACACACAGACACACAGACACACACACACACACACACACACACACACACACACACACACACGCGCGCGCGCGCACGCACGCACACACACGCACACATGCAGACAATGGGTTTGGGATCAGCCTAGTGTCCTGCGGGCCCCGTGCTCCCCTGCCTTACCCCTACCACTGCCTGGGAGAGTGCAGGAAGCACAGTGACCGTGCCCTTGTCAGCACCAGGCCTATGTGCCTGACCTCAGCAGCAGCTGCCATGTACCTTCACACACACACCTGCAGCCTCAGGTCCATCCGGCCCTAGGTCCACAACCAGCCTGTCCCAGGATGGAACAGGCAGATCCCCCGCCTTTGGCCCTCAGAGTATATTTCAAACAGTACCTACTGGTCAGGGCTGAACCCACAATTGCAGGGAGCACCAAGGCTCCTGCAGCACTGGCACCTATGTGGTCTGACTGTGCACAGCAGGTCACCTCCTTCCCAAGACCCTCACGAAAGGGTAAGGATGGGGAGAGAGGAGTCTATGGCCCCAGCCCGCTCTCAGCTTCACCTCACAAGTGCAGACAGCCAGCCAAAGATCCCACAGAAGGCCACGGGATGGCGCCGCTGCTCCCCACCCTGCTCTGCACTCCCTCTCCTGTTTGCACTCAGAAGGTTCAGAGAGGAAGGCCATCTCCAGTGCAGTGCAGCCCCAGCTTAGCAAGAGTTAACCTTCTAGAGTGAGGGCAGGGAACTTAGTTCCACAGCACGGTCGGCGCCATCACCTGTGGGCCCCCGTCTGTCCATGAAGGGCCACCACAAGGTCACAGGCCAAGATCAGGAGGAACACTGCCCATGCGCCATCGAAGCATCACATCTCCCCTGCAGGTCAGCAACCTACATGAGCCAGATTCCTCTCCTCTTCACTTATCTGAGAGTCAAAGAGACAGAGCTCCCAGCAGCTGGCTCATTCCCCAGATGCCCAGAGCTGCCAGGGCTGGGCCGGGGAGCCAAGGCTGGACCCGGATCTCCCGAGTGGGTGGCAGCAGCTCAGGTACCAGAGCTGTTGCTGGCTGTCTGCCAGGGCAGTTGGAGTCAGGAGCAGAGGCGAGAGCCACACGCAGGGTTCTGAGATGTAGGGCATGGTTGTCTTAATCTACCTCTTTTTTCTTTATAATTTACTTACTTTTGTGTTCTTCAAAAAGCACAGACATAGAAATAGATTGAGAAAGAGATCTTTCATCCACTGTGGCACACCCCAAATATCCCACAACAACCACGGAGGCCAGAACTCAGCCTGGGTCTTCCGTACGGGCTACAAGATCCAAACACCTGCGCCACCACCTGCCGGCCCAGGCTGTGCGTTAGCAGGAAGGCAGAGTCAGACACAGAGCTGGGACTCAAGGCCAGGCACCGTGACATGGGCGGCAGGCAACCCAAGCGTGCCTTACAATGCTCATCCCCTTAGCTAAGCTCTCCAGACCAAGCACCCCACCACCACCCCCAGTCTCCACTGTATAAACCAAACAACACAGACTGCTCCAGGTCACTGAGTTAAGGCAAAGCCAGGGCTGCGACTCGGGCTGACCTGGGACCCCGGCCCGGGACCGCTGGTGACCCCACACGCCTCCCTGGGACCCGCACCTCCCTGGGACCCACACCCTGCTCCCCACGCTGTACCTGGGGGCCATGCCGAGCGGCGATGCCTGCTCTCCTGTACTGTGGCCCTTCCCCACCAAGCACTGCTCCGGCTTACTCTCCTGCAGAGGAAGGAAAAGGAAAAGTGATGCCAACAGGCAAGAGAAAGCAGCTGCAGCAGGCACTGCGACCTGAGTTGGAGAGGCCCCCTGCCCAGGGCAGCACCAGGAAGGTGGACCCAGCCCCGGGGGCGGCCTCCCCGTGGAACAGCCCAGGAGGCTCCAGGCATGTCGCTGCCGCCGCTTTGCCCAGAAGCATACATGGAGATGCTGAGAATTCTGTTTGACAGAAATGAGTCTGTTTTCCCTCAGTGTTTGTGGCACCAAACCAAGCTCCTCGTCTCTGCAGCTTACACAAATGCTTATCAAGGGGTCGTGGGATCCCCAACCCAGCCATAATGTTGTCTTCTAACTGCTAATAGAAATGCTTGAAAATATCTCACACCACATTTCTTTGGGGAGAAGCAGCCATCTCATCTTCAAGTCTACGCACTCTAGGTAGGAAAACGCTCCCTGGATCTATGGGCAACCGAGCCGGCCCTCTTCCCGAGTCAAAGCAACTTGGCCAAGCCACGTCACCGCTCGGCCTCGCTCCCTCCTCTGGGACAGCAGCCCGATGCTGCTCCCAGCACTGAAGGAGATGTGTCTGAACACGAAGCCCAGGGCTCAGAGTGAGCAGGTGACAAAAGAAACAGGCACCAGTTCCCACACTTCCGTCCCCGTCTCAAGGCACCAGATGGGAGAGCCAAGGAACCAGTGGTTTCCAGGGAAAGCTCCTGGAGGTCACGGGGTCGGGAGAGTTTTCCGAGTTCCACTGGCCTACTTCAAAGGTGGCACTGAGTAATATCAACAACGTGCAACCTGGTGACCCTCTTCACACACACTCACTGCAGACTCGCTTCTAATAGTTTTAATTTTTTATAGGCACACAAATGACCAATGTTATATCCAGTGTTAATGTATTTATGTATTGAGACTTGTAACTGAGACATTTCAGCAACTAACAATCCTTTATCATGGTAGTTCACAAACATTTACCTGAAATAAAATCTTTTTAAGCTTAAAAATAAATATTTAATTTTGTAAGCATCCCTTTCGGCATACTGGTACCTGCTCAATGTCGAATGATAACAACCCCATGAAGTCTTTGCAATTTATTTCTATCATAAATTCTGGAATATTCTGCTCTCCAGAAAGAGAACCGAAAGCCCTTTAACTCCTCTATGGGAGAGCATAAATGCTGCTCTGACTGGCTCATACACCTTGGAGGTGCATGGCAATCCACAGAACTCAAGCTATCAGGAAGTGTCAAAACACACTCCTAACTGGAGAGCACCTCCCTGCCATAGCCTGCTCTGAACCAACAGCACACGGGGGTCACGTGAGTTTATGAGTTTCATCAGCAACTTGACTGTGGTCCTGGAGCTTCTTCAGACCACATTCCAAAAGCAAACGGTGTCCTCCCAGGCAAGACTGCCACACCCTGCCCCAGCTCCAGCAAGGCCACCGGGGACAGCCAGAGGTCAGAGCCCTACGTGGCTTCCGCCTTCACAGAATTTAGGGTCTGTAAGGGAAAAGATGTCAATCAAACGATGAGACAGGTGAGTGTATAAAGACAGATAAAAGTTATGAAGGGACAGCTCACAGGCAGAGCTAGCAGAGGCAAGAACAGGGGACCAGACTAAGCGTTCGGAAAAGGCCACGTGAGCCGCGGGTGCATTAAGTGAAGGGTTCTCGGGTGGAACAGGCTGTTAGGCAGAATCACAGAGGGCGGCAAGGAAACGGGCGACCCTGAGGCTGGGCAGGGAGGCAGGGGCCGGCCCAGACAAGCCCCACGGAGCCCAGGAAGGGCGCTGGGTGCACAGTGAGACCCTGCGGGACCACTGAGCGGTTTCACCTGGTCTGGCTGCAATCTGAAGGATGAGAAGGGAACCAGGCAGAGTGGAAACAACGGGAAGAAGCTACCAGAGCTACCAGAGCTACCAGAGCTAACAGAGTGGAAGCTACCGGGGTGGACAAGGCCACAACTGCCGGAGTGCAGCGAGCGAGCCCAGGGCAGACTGCAGACGGGGAAAGCTGCTCCACCACCAGGATGGCAAGTAGAGTGGGGACGCCAACCCTGCGTTCTGTGGTCAGGGAAGCAGCTGTTGAAGGAAGCCACGCGCTGGGAAACAACGGCGTGAGACGCACAGAGCACCCACCCTCAGTACCAGCGATGTGGCCACGGGTTCCACAGAAACTGTGGCTCAGAGATAAAGATGGGCTCATGTGCGTAGCGGTGAAATCAGGGCAAAAGCAGGAGACCTGGGGTGGGGGCAGGGAGCCGAGGGACCAGGGGCCCAACACCAAGGGACCAGCAGCCCGAGGCCAAGCACAGACAGAGGTCAAGAAGCAGGCTGAGGAGCTGCCCAAGACCTAAACGGGACGAAGACATTCACAGAGATGGAACCAAGGCCATGTGTGTCAGACCAAGGAGAGCTGATCTACAGCCCAAGTGCCCTCCCCCCACGCCTGCATGGGCCCCGCCTCCGGAGGGCACCACTAGCAGGTGATGGCTCCAGCTCGGGGCTTCTGCTCATATCTGCATCCCGGCCCACAAGCAGCCTGACCTCAGGAAGTGTGCCGCCCACGCACTGCTCCGCGTCCCAGACTTACCTCCTTAATCGTGGTATTTCTTCCCCTCCAGGAGAACCACCACCTTCCTCCCTTTTTAGGCATCTTATCTCGCATGATGGACTCCACTGTGGCCTGTTTTAAATGGATGGTAACATAAATAATGGAACCAAAAAAAAAAGAAAAGAAAATCCAACTCGGCACATCGGAACCAAACACACACATGGGCAAATCAAAGATCAAAAAAACAAATCACAGAAATCAACAACATACTATTTGTGGATTAAAAATTTTAGAGAAGCAAAACCTAATGGCATCCAAAATGACATGAAGGTAACTTAGGCATGGAGACTTCAGGAGATGCGCAAAGAACAGACAGACAACAGATAAAATACAACACAATGACAACAACAAAAAAAGAAAGCATTAAAAACCATTAGTGATTCATAAGATCAGAAGCTTTCAAATTAAAGTGGCTAACTGGTTGGGATATTAGCCCCTCAGTAGGATGACAAGAAAATAAAATAGATCATGGTTGATATGGGACGCAGGGTAACATGGTTTCAAACAAAAATAGGATATACTGGAGAAGTTATTTTTTAATACATGTAAATTTCCAAATTTTGTCAAACTGAACACTTAACAGATGCATCTGATTTAGAATGTCAAGTATCAATGTGAAAATTCATGCTCCAAACACACGAGAGGCTGAGAGGCCCGACCATACGAAGCAACAATTACCCACGCGTTTCCAAAGCACGAAACCTGTTTGCCAACCCTCCCTTGGCCAACTGCAAGCAGCAAAGCCCTCAGCTACTTACGAAAACAAAAAAGCTGTGCTTTTCAATCTAACACGGTGTGGCTGACACCATAATTCGCCTATATCACCTCAAGGATGCTTCCTTTTTATCTTTCCGTCTTTTTAAAGTTTTATTCATCATTTAAAACAAGGGTAGAGAACAAGTTTTCCCACAAAGGGTCATTTAGATATAAACGTATAACACATCATTCACAGGACATTACAAAATTGCCAGCTTAGAAATCTACCCATTGTGGGCTTGGTGCAACAGCTCAATAGCTAAATCCTCGCCTTGCAAGGGCCGGGATCCTCAAATACCCAGCTAGTTCGTGTCCTGGCTGCTCCACTTCCCACCCAGCTCCCTGTTTATGGCCTGAGAAGGCAGTAGAGGATTGTCTAAAGCCTTGGGACCCTATACCCGCAAGGGAGACCCAGAACACGTTCCTGGCTCCTGACTTCCAATCAACTCAGCTGCAGCCATTGCAGCTACTTGGGGAGTGCACCAACAGATGGAAAATCTATCTAATCTTTCTCTATGTAAAATCTCATCAATAAAAATAAAGTTTAAAAAATAAGGAAAGAAAAAAAGGAATCCATCCACTGTGGATTTATGGAATTTCAAGTCTCACCTACAGCCACCTTGGCATGGTCAGACCAAGCGGTTTCGCAGGCCACACCCTCACCCCGATGTGAAAGATCCCTATGTGACCCCAAAACAAAGTGGGATATACTAAGAGGGAAGACCCTTCTTTGCCCACATCAACTCATAAACTTAACAAACGCCACTTTTCAAAACCAAAAGCTACCATGATCACATCCAGACCTAAAATAAAGATCCTACTGAACATCTGAAAACGCAACAAACACACACAAAAAAGGCCAAGGAAACTCTAGGCAATGCCCTAGGTAGACGCACGCCCCAAGGGGCGTTTAAGTACACTCAGAGACTCTGCTGATTAAAGGGAGACAAGGTTGATCCATAGGTAAAACCCATTACCAGAACAGAATAATCTGGAAACCAGCTAAGTCCAGCAGAAACCCAACACACAACAAATCGCTAGTGATTGTCAGTGGGAAAGCTGCCCTGTCTCGAGCCCTGTCCGCCTCACCCAGGGACCCCAAATTGCATTCAGGAGCCAGGCTGCCATGTGCGCAGACCCCGGACATGGTCCCACGCCAGTCACAGGCCGCCAAGGGGCTGGCCAGCAGACAGCGTCAAGGTCATCGGGCTCTGGCCAATGAGCGCCGAGACACAAGCCCCCTTCCTCTCATTCTGGGTGTGGCTGGAGCAGGTGACCGTGCGTGCAGCTGCCACCCTGCCACTACAAAGGGGAAGCCGGGCAAATCGCAGAGGCCGGCCCAGCATCCATCAAGCCGAAACTGCCGGCTTCCAGACGCTCCATCCATAGCATCAGGGTCCCCGTCAGTCTTTCTGTTTCCTGCCACCCTTCAGGGACCCAACCAGCTGCAGAGGACCCTCGACTGTTCTCCAAATCAGGGTGAGGGAAGAGGAAGGCAAAAGACAAAAGACCAAAGTCCAGGGCACGCTGCCCTCAGTGTCAGGGAGGGGAAGGTGCAGCCCACCACGGGACCATCGCGGTTGCAAGTCCTTGGCCAAACCTGCTAAAAGACTGGCATAGCCAAGGGCTGACACACCGTGCCTCCATCCTGTGAACTAAACCCTCCAGCTGTCTCCACCACACTTGTCTTTTCCTGTCTGATCTACAAGAACCAAGACACAGAAAATGAACATTGGTACCAGGCTGCGAGCACCATGAGCAACCTGGGGGAGACAGAAAGTGAGTCGCCTGGGAAAACACGACCTCGGCCCCGTCCACAAAGAAGAGAAAGGGAGAAAGCCCCATGGACACAAGAGGAGGCTACCAGCCGCCATCCTAGTACAGACACCCAACGGTCACACCCGGCACTTCAGGGGGCTTGGCACCTGCTGCAGATGGCACCCAGCCCTGGCCCAGGATGCAGAGGGAGGCCCTGCCAGCACAGAGAACCGAGGATACACAAGAAAACAGCCAGCAAGGCCAGGCTGAGGGTGCAACACGCTACACCGAAAAGATGCCTGCCCAGTCGGCGGGCTGCCAGGAGGTGCACTGGCGGCCACTAGTGGTCACAGGCAGTGGCACGGCCCCACGCGGCTCTGGCTCCCGCCTCCATGAATCAGGTGCAGGGCTAACGTCTGTCCAGATCCACACCAGTGCCGACCTTTCCACAGTGACAGCCCCACCCTCGGCTGCCCTGTCCACCGGGTCCCCACTGCCAGCACTGGGAGGCTTCAAGCTAGGGAGGAGAGAGGGAACAAGCCCAGTTGATCTGCCCAGCATCCCCGCTGCCTTCTCCTGCCAACCCTCACCTTTGGTAAAGGTTTCTGGAAGGCCTGCATCGCCAGCAGCAGGGGCGCTGCTGTCGTCCAGTTATAGTACCTGCCAAAAGACAGGGCGGGATGTCAGAAGGCCCACGTGACGTCATGGAAAAACCCCAGACCTCAGGGAGAGCCCCCCACCCAGCACGGCCCTTCCACGCAGCGGCTCCCCTCCTCTGTCTACTCCGACAACTACAAGCGAGGGGCCAGCAGTGTTCAATAGGATGGGGACACACACCCGTGCCAGGTGGGCAGCGGCTCAACACCACAGTACAGCAAACTGCTCACCACGCACCACATTTCAAGGAAGTTCTGAAAATATGCCTGCCTCGCACTAGCAGCCTGCAAAGGTGCCTGTGTGGCCTTGACCGCAGAGAATGGAGTTCTACTAAAAGGGTGGGCATACGGGCTACTCTGCTATAGCCACACACAGCTCGGGGTCTAATTCTCTAAGTAAAACAAGACCTTATTCGGTCAACAGAGCCGGACATTAAGACCCACGGGCCAAGACAGCTGCCCCCAGCGCGGGAACTGTCAGGGGGAAGAGTCGGTGACCAAGCTTAACGAGGACTTCCAGTGTGAGATCTTGCAACCTCTCCCCACACCTGCGTGAGCGGCAATGCTGCAGCCCCTCAAGTGCAACTTACTTATTGCCGATCTTGACCACGAGATTGGGGTCGTCGATGATGGCGGGGTTGTCCACAAACTGCTGATAGGACACGGCTTGTTCCAAAAACGCATCTGCCACGGCAATCAGAGGGGATGAGACACAGACAAAAAGGAAACGGACTAAAAGCAGGCATACTGTGTCCCGCTGAGCCAGGGTCTGCACAGTTCTCACTCGGGGACCCCAGTTCTGGCGAGGCACGAAGCCCTGGGCTCTGATGTATATTCAAAACCATAGCAAAGAGAAAGAAATGGGGCGGGAAGCAAGGAGCTGAGAGTGGGAGGGCAGAAGGAGGAACCAAATCTATGAACTATATTCATAAAGTATACTGATTTTTTTTCATTTCTACTAATACCACATTAACATGAAACAATTAGGTATGTGAAGTTAGGTATCTGTGTTTTCTCTACTGGCTCGGGAGCGTTTTCCACTCATGAGTTCCACCTGAGGACGCCCTTGGCGATGGCCAGTGTCAAGGCTGAGGAAGCAGCAGTGTGGACAACACCTGTTGCCTTTGACTTCCTCTAAGCCCCTAAACATTCTCCACCCTGGCAATAATGTGTCATTGGCTCCTGAAGGGCCAGCGCTGCTGAGCTGGCCGGGGATAGGGCACCTGACTGCGAACAGGGATGGGTCCTGACGACCCGGCTGGCGTCACCACGCCCACCTTAACACAGCCCAGGGAGGCGCGGCTCTGGACCCGAACCAGCCCTGCAAGCCCGAGCGTCTGGCCTTGTGCACGGCGGCCACTAGAGGGCGGGCTTGTACCTTTGGTGATCTCTCGGTGGTCGCTGAGGCCCCCGCAGAGGGAGATGGCGATGGACGGCAGGTCCCGCAGGCTGTCCGAGGTGCTCTCCACGCCGCTGTCCACGCCCGAGCTGCCCACGGACTGCGGGGACTGGCTGGCGGATCGGGTGCCGCTGTCAGCGGGTTTGCCCAGCCCCGAGGGGTCTCCGCTGAAAGTGGAAGGAGCTGTTCTGAGCATTGCCCACTCCAGGGCAGAGAAACGACCAGGTGGTACAGCGGTCCCTCCCAGAGGGTGGAGAGAGGGTCGTTCAGGACCACCATCTTCCATCTGCTAATCACTCCCCACATGCCTGGGCCAAGCCAAAGCCTGGACTCGCCACTCAACCCAGGTCTCCCATGCAGGCGGCTTGGACTCAACTGCTTGAGCTAGCCCGGGCTCCTCCCACAGCATGCACCAGCAGGAGACTGGGGTCAGAAGCAGAGCCAAGCCCTGTGACGAGGGGCGTGGGCACCCCACGCAGTGACAGCAGCTGCACCCAGCACCCAGCCTGGCTGGCTGGCTTCCCGCAGCCTAACCTGCCGCATTCCTCCCCCCACTTCCTCACGAAATCCGATGCACGCGGACTCACACACTGAGTATAGAACCCAAGAATGCCAGGAAAGTTTACTTTTTGGGGAAATACAGGGCCGCCACTTCTGGATCCATGTCTGTGAGCTCATCCAAGTAGACGCCGTCGGCCCCCAGATGTCTACTGCGCTTGTCTGCAAGAACAAACAAGAGTCACCCTTCCGGAAGCCAACTCCAGGCTGCTTTCTCCAGGAAACACATTCCTGCCCAAGCAGCGCGGGGACACAGGCCGACGGGACTGGCTCCCTGAACCGCCCACAGGCTGCCCAGCCAGGGACCTGGCAGCCGGGCACCACACACCCACGATGGAAGCTGTGGCCTCTCTGTTACTATCGCCATGATGACTGTGAACTGCGAACACTGCCAAAAGACATGTCCCCATCGGGACTGAGGCAGCCACAGCGCCCCTTGCTGTGCGGCCACCACGCAGCGCGAGGACTTCAGACTTCCTCTTAGCGCCCAGCAGGAAGCAACGTCATCAACCCGCAAGAACCTAGAAAGTTGCAGAGGGGGCCACACCCTCGCTGCCGCCAGTGGGCCGTGCATCACAGTGCAGGCACCTGTTAGGTGCCCACTCAGAACCCTGAAGACCAACAGGGCAAAGTGGGCAGCAATGCCTCTGGACCTCAGAGCAAATACGGCAGCAGACTGGACTGGGTCAAAATCAATCCATCAATATAAATTAATAATCGATTGGTCCATCAATAAACTGACGCTAACTTGAAATCGTGATAGAGGATGCAATTAAAATGGAGCTGGGGATGACGACTTGGGGCTGGGGTGAGGAGGAGGAAGCCCAGATTATCTGAAACACGCACTTCCTGGCAGTCCCTGGGATTGAGCAGGGGCAGCCCGGCACAGCACCACCCCAGGCTGCCATCCGTGCACCAGCGGGTCAGGCATGAGACCGCAGGCTGACCCTGACTTTCTGGGCTGCGCCCGAGGGTGGGGGAGAAGCACCACCTGGGCACAGTGCGTGCGGGAAGGCCCCGGCCCCGCACCTTTCCTCCTGGAGGGAGACTCGGGCTTGTCCGCCCTGGGCACGCCCCCGGCAGCGGGCGGCTTGAGCTCCCGGGGCCCAGACAAGGGCAGGGGTGAGGCCGCCGCGCCCAGGGCCTCCAAGTCTTCCTCGCTCACAAAGTGCACTTCGGCCCGGGGCCTGCGCGGCTCGGCCAGCGGCCCGCGGCCCAGCGTCGGCGACTGGTCACTGAAGCCATCCGAGGACTCGCTGTGGATGGCCTGGAAGTGGATTTTGTCACAAAGCTTCCGGCTAATCAGAGGGCTGGATTCTTTCATTTTGTGTGGAGAGGATGACTGGAACAGAGAGAGAGAGAATGTGAAACCTCAGGCAACCGTAACAAGTCGGCGAAGGAAAGCAACACAGTCGGTCCACAGCTGTGGCAGACATCTAAGCCCCCAAAACCACCAGGTGACCTGGTGACCGCTGCACCTGCTGGAAGGGCCAGAAGCCGAGACGACGAGTCCCCAAGGAAACCGGCTTCCCTCCATCTGCCATGGGAGGTGAGTTCAATAATGGCACGCATGTGGGAGCAACCCAACCACTTCCCAGGTCACTGTGCCTGAATGTGCAGGAGTCGGGATTCAAATCGGGGTCAGCTTGTCTTCAGGCCCTCTGACCCCACACTCTCCCCAGGCGCTCCTGCCTTCTGGAGACCCCTCCCCTGCACCGCCTCAAATCCAGAATCACCGGCCCTGCTGACAACACGGTGACAAGAACAACTTCCTCCAAGGCGACACACAGCCATGCCATTGCCTTCTGACCGTCCAGCCCACACCTCGCACCTCCACAAGCTGCTCCCTGTCCCCGGGCCCCCCAGGAGCTGCGTCTGGAAGGTGTGCCTTTCGGCTCTCAGAGCACCCAGGTCCTGCTTTCCCAGCCCTGACTTCGCCCCAGTGAGCGCCAAGAGGCCCTTTGGTTTAGGGTTTCCAGGCACCCAATCTGACCACAAATTGCGTTTTGTCTGATCCACATTTGGTTGGCATGGACAACATAGATCCCAGGCACAGCACTCGAGTTTGCAAGGCACCAACATGTTACCATGCAGACCCCTGGGCCGGGCTGGCCATGCCAGGCCCCTGGCATTGAGGCCTGACTGTGCATGGCCCAGGCCGGGGCAGAAGGCCCCAGCATGGTGTGTGGCAGAGCCAGAGAAGGACTCACCTTTGCGGCCTGGGGCAGCTCTCCCCAGAGCCAAAGCATCTCCAGGTTGCTCTTCTGCAGCGTCCTGTCCACAGACTTGCTGACCAGCTCTGAGTCGCTTTTGGGTGTTGAAGGCCGGGAACTTGATGGGCTTTGGGAAACACAAACCCACAATTTAGGTGGGAAAATAAGCTGCCAAGCTTTGGGCCCTCCCAGACAAGGCAACCCGGCCATCATACCCCCACCAGCAGTTTCCTGACATTTCCCTCCTCTGGCCACCAGGGGTCCTCGCAAGCCACAGCCAGGGGGACAATGCTCCCCAAAGTGAGCCCACCAGCAGGTGGCTTGTGGCCAAGTTCAAAGTAGAGAAGATGGGGAGGGGGTCGGGGATGGAAAGCAAGCAGCAGCCTAGAAAAGGGGAGATCTCACCTGACCCCAGAGCCATCTCACGCCAAGCTAACCTCACTTGCACACTCCACTGCCAGGTCAGTGTCAGCCTCATGGCCACACTCAGAGCCTACCATTCTGACACGCCCCGTTTTACGTTCTGTACCTACAGTATTTCTAAAGCTGCCCTGGCCAACATGGGGGCCACGAGCCCCGGGGACCACACATACACTACGGCCGGGATCCAACACCCATTGTGCGGCTTACTCCCAGGCAGCTTCCACAGGGTACCACCAAGGACTCAACTCTGTGTCTTGTCACTTTATGCTCAGGATCCGCCCAGCCCAGGGAACTGGCCAAGAGGAAGCCACACTTCTCCAAGACGCCACAGTCCCATGAGAAGGCAGCAGCCTTGCCCGTGGGTGGCTCGTGGCCTCGACCCCTCTAATCCCAGCATGGCTGCAGGAACTGAAAGACCTGCTACCCCCGGAAGACCAGCCTAAGGGCCCTACACTCAACCACTGGCCTGTACTCAGGCCACAGGGTCCTGGCAACCACTCCACCTTACAGATCAGGGGTTGCCCAGCCCAGTAGACAGACAAGGTCATTGCAGGCCTGCGGATAGCATTCACTAGGCTCCAGAGAGCTTCTCACTTCCTGGTTAAGCCTGGGCTGGGCAAATGAGCTGCACCTGCTCACCCTGCTGTCAGACGGCCTTCCTTCTGCACGGATAACTGGCAAACTGCAGCCTGAAGCCTGGGTCTTTCATCCAAAAGACTAAAAACCACACTATCCTCACAGTGATAATCACCACTTCATGGGCTAAAAAACTTTGCTACACCTAAGCCCCCCAAGTGGGCAGCTCCAAGCATGGACAAACCTGAAGGGCATGGAGGGAAGACCCTCTCAGACTTCCCCAAACTAAGGGCCCAAGCTGCTGACCCCAAACCAGGCCCTCCTCTGTGGCAGAAGAGCTGTGGGCAGCGCCCAAGTCCATTATTCGACAGCCGACGGCCGGATGGGCTAGCCAAACATTCATAAGCACTCCAGCTTCCTCCAGCGCAGCATCGTGAAAGTGCCTGGCACAAACAGCCTAGACACGAGGGACCCTCTCCCTCACCTGTGCCTCATTCTTCCATTTCTTAAACCCCTACACAGAATTCAGTAGGACTGTATATTAACCATCACGTCCAGAGATCCAAACCTAGAATTTTCCACCCCAATCTACAGATGGTTACATGAAAAGGAAAAACCATCTTTCTTCCTTAGGCAGCTGGTTAGTTAGCAAAGGAGAGTGGTTAAGAAGAGTTAGAGCATGATTCTGAAGGTGGTTAGTGGCAAATAAGTCTGCGCGTGTTAGACAACATGACTGAACACACCCCGGTGCGGAAGAGAACTGGTCTACCTTTCAGGAGCATGGCCGTGGGAAGACTGTGCAGGGCAGGATGTAGACAGGCCTCCCTCGGCCGCCACTGCCAGGTGAGGGGGCGTCCTGCAAGCCACCGGGCTACTGCAAGCCACCGCGCCACAGCCAGGGAAAGAAGGGAGAGAAACCGCAGGTCAACGAAGCGAAGTGGAGCTGCTTCCCACAGACATAAATGATGGCGTTCACCAGGACAGCTACGAAATGCAAGTGCTTGGGTATCCCACAGCAGCTGGCAGCATGACATCACCATCCATGGCCTAGGCCAGAGTGGCCGGGGAACCGACCTCCCTCCCACCAGAGACGGACCGAGGTCAAGGTTTGGAGCTTCACCCAACTACACAACTTGTTCATTTGCAAGACAATTGTTTTCTTTAAAAGGAACACAGAATTCTAAATATGCAAATGTAATGCCAGCCAAGTAAAAGACAGAGAGGTGCTGGCGGGGAGGGGCTAGGCCTAAACTCCTCTAAAGCCTCACAATTAGAGTATTGGAATAAACTTTTCGACCTGTTAGTGGTTTCTAAATACTCCATACTATCTTCTTCCTTAACTGCTGCTTTTCCCTCTAAGAGTTTATCCACAGACCTGGGAAAAGAACAAAAGACGTTCTGGAATGATCTTACATTGGCATTGTCTACTACAGCAAGCTGGCTATGGTACATGGCTCTTGAGCACACGAAACGTGGCCAAACTGACATGATCTTTGCATACAAACCACAGCGCAGATTTTAAACCGTGTGAAAACAAATGGGAACCACCTGAGCAATCCTCAAAATTTGATTACATTATTGAAATGATCATATTTTGAATATAATGGGGGGGTCAAATAAAATGGGTCTGTAAAATTTTCATCTATTCCTTTTCATTTCATAAACACAGCTTCTAGGAAATACCCGTTAGGCTTCAGGGCTGGTCCCTGAGGCGCCACACCTCAGAGAGGGGCCCTCCTTGTGGCCCCAAGCCTCACCCTGGCCGAGTGACCTCCAGCTTGTGCTTGGGGGACCGTCTCCGACTTCTCTAACTTCAGCTCCAGCAGACAGCTGCTCCTGCCTCGAGCAGGCGGCTCCCCCGGTCCAACCTCAGCCAGAAGTGCTGTCTGCATGACTGGCCTTGGATGGGGGCTCCAGGCAGCCTGCACAGGGCCATCCGGGGACTCCCACACTCCCCACTTTAAACCAGAAGCCAACCCGAGACGTCAGACGTAGGACAACCCGAACATGCCCAGCAGCCAATGACAAACGCCCACCCATCACGAAGCTAACGCTTTGGCCCCGAGTGGCTGGGGGCATCCTCTCACTACCTAAGCGCCAGCTTGCTTCCCACCAGGGGCTAGAGGCTGCTGTCGAGAAAGCAGGCTTGAGACCTGTCCCCCTCTCAGCCCTCACACACAGGAACTTCCAGAAGCTCCTGGCAAATACCTCCTGTAGGAAACTGTGCAGGGATTCCTGAACATGCTGGTACCAATCACAGAATCCCATTTTCCCACAAGCTTATCAAAGCACCCCCATGTTCCCTTCAAAGCCCCAGGGGTCCCAGGCTGGCTGCTCCAGGTGGGCACGCTCTCATCAGAGCACCCAAGCTCATTTCAGGGAAACTGGCACTGTTGATTCAATAGCCGGGGCACAAGGCAGAAGGGAGCAGTTGTCGCTGAGCTATCCCGGAGCCAGACACAACCCATGTGTTTGCACGGTACTCGAGGGCTAAGGCTCAGGACAGGACCCGCCCTGCCGTCCTCCCGTTAGCACTCAGCAGTATGTAACCCAGCAGCTCCTCCTCTCAGTGTCACCCCCAAAGAGCCCCAAGTCAGGCTCCTGTTGGGAGGTACGTTCTGGTACCAGATGCAGCCCCTGCTCTGTGCCCCATTGATTCTGCTTCTTGTTAACTTTCACGTTATTTCCATCCCACGCGCTTCCTAGGACTGACTTCTAACCTCCTAGACCAGGACAGCTGAACCCCAGACACACACACGTAGCACTCACCTGGGGTGGGGTGACCACACTCTGTCTGAATTAGGGTACGACGCGGACTGTGGGTAAGGAGAGGCCGAGGTGCGCTTTGTCTCTGGAATATCATCTTGGAATGGAGGCATGTCATGAGGAAGTGACCTGGGGAGGAAGCGTGCAGGATATGATGGCTAGGGACAGGCACGTGGGAAAGTCACGCTGTGCCTCCTCCCTGATTTTCTAGGCACTTTGTAGATCAACACCATCTCCTCTTAAACACTCAAGCGTTTTCCGGGCCGCAGGGAAGAGGAAGTGTGAGACACGGAGACGTGCTTGCATGCTAAGTGTTCTAACTGCATCAAAATTTCTTTGTTTCTGGACTTCCATGCAAGCAGAGGAGCCTGCTCCTGACTCCGCTAAAGCAACTCCCCGTCACCTTCGACCCTTCCAAAGCTGCAGAGACCTGACTGGGGGCGGGGGGCAAGGGAAGGTGTGGGGAAATGGAAATGGACAGGCAATGGCCATGCCTGTGCGGCACAAGGAACAGTGGGATCAACCAACAGCACCTCGAGACGAGGTGGCTGCAGAATTACCCAACTGTAGACGCAGGTGGAGAGTCGCTGTGTCCCTCACAGCGTACAGGGTACTGTCACCCGTAGCAGCCGCCACTAAGTCCTGGGTGGAAGGGCCAGGCAGGCGAGGCCCAGCACAAAGCTGCCCCCCACCCCTCCCTAGCTTCTGAGTCCAAGCAGGGCACAGGCCATGGTCAGGAAATGCAGGCAGCCGGTTCACCTTGACTTTTAGCCAAAACACATGTTCTGTTGTGAAGGCCGTCACCCCCTCTGTATACGGAGACACAGCGAACACACAGGCATCCGCAGCCCATTCTTTAAAACGCAGTCTCTTGTTTAAAAACTGGCATTTTCCACCAAAATCATAAAACCACACCACATTGGGAGGTGCGAAGGAAAACAGAACAAGATAACCATGACAGTGGCCTAATCCAATGTTAAAGAGCTTCCAGAGAGGCATCTGAGCATGCTCTCATGAGGTTCAACCCCAAGGCGGCCACACACCAGCCCCTCGGGACGTCCGTAAGACCAAGCACTGCTGGTACTCAACCGGGTGTCCCCTTGCCAGCCGCTCGTCTGCTCGTGCCCTGCTTCGTGAGGAAGCTCTGGCCTTACCAGTGGTCTGGTGGCCACAAGCCATGCCAGATCGCTCATCACGCTGAGAAAAGGGGCATGTGGGTCCAAACCACAACCTAATACAGACAGCAGAACAACTTCTGGAGGGGCCAACTGCCACCGTCCTCCTAAGACACCAGTGCAGCCCATGCCAGTGCCACCCTGAGACACCAGCGCAGTCCATGCCAGCGCCACCCTGGAGACACCAGCACAGCCCGTGCTGGCGCCACCCTAGACACACCAGTGCAGCCCATGCCAGTGCCACCCTAGAGACACCAGCACAGCCCGTGCCAGTGCCACCCTGGAGACACCAGCGCAGCCCGTGCCAGCGCCACCCTGGAGACACCAGCGCAGCCCATGCCAGCGCCACCCCGGAGCTCACCGGCTGCCGTCCAGCAGCTCCTCATCCTCGTCAGAGCTCATCTCTATGGGAAACATGTCCTCGTCCTCCGATGTGTTGGCGGCGTCCTCCCGTTTCAGGCTGTCCAGCTGGGACTTGCGCCTCCGCTTTCTCCTCTTCTTTCCTAACGAGCCACTCGAGGGGGTATCACTGGGAACTAAGGCCGGGGCTGGCACATTCGAGTCCAGGCCTCTCATTCTGTCCGGGGGGCTCCTCTTGAGCTGACATTCCATTCTTGAGGCTCCTTCCGACAGGATGGGAGAGGTGGCCAAGTGCATGGGGATCACCTCCTGGAGGGAGAAGTTTGCCCAGCTGGGCTCAAACGCCAAGACCATGCCCAAGGTCTTCCCAGGGTCCCTCAGGAGCCCAGCACTACTGGGCAGTCCCAGGGGCAGTCCTGGCTGAAACTGGGAGCAAGAACTCCTTGGGATCCCCCAAGCACCTGGCACACCGTCCACCGCTTTCCCAAGCACATTAGCAGGAAGAAGCAATAGAAACGAAGCACCTGGGATTTGAACAGGTGCACATAAAGCAGGCAGGCATCACAAGCAGTGGCTTAAGGTGCTGCACCACAACACAGGCCCTTGCACGCTGTGGACAACGGGAGGGCCCCGTGTGTACCACAGCCCCACCTCTGTCCCGCAGGAAGCAGCCACCCCACTGTGCCCTGCGTACCCACAGCTGTCTGGCTCCGTTCCTGGCAGCTGGCTCTCACACAGCCACGTTCCTGCACACACACACGCTGCAGCTGGAGATAAGCACTGCTCAAAGCTCAAAACCAGGAAGCAGCCTTGACCCCGGCCCTCGTTACCTGATCATTATCGGCCTCTTGAACAAAAAACGCTTCTCCATTATCTCCCAATTTCATGTGCAAGTCCACAGACTCCCCATTGATTTCTATGTCAACCTGAAGGGAAACCGCGAAGAAACGTTAAGAAGGTAGGAAGGTATGGGGAGCCGTGCAGTTGGGTCGGATGGCATGGGTGTGTGAGCACCGCTCCTCGGTTAGCAAGGCTGCGAGGAGTTTCTGGCTGCGTGACAAGGCCCAGCAGAATGTCTCTGGTCACCTCATTGTTGCCTCACCCCATTGTGTGGACACTCAATCACCTCTCTGATGTTTCATAGAATTCTCCTGAGGGTGTTGTTGCTGTTTCTCTGCCAATGTGAAGTGATTCCTGTAACTGGTATGACACTTCAAATTGATAATCATGTTATGATAAAAACATCTTTAGCAACATAAGGCAATGACACACAGCTAAAAGTATACAATAGTACAATTGGGCCCACAATGTCTCCAAATATCCTGTTATGTGCCCACCTTTGTCCTAAGCTTGCCCTAATATAAGTAATGTTTTCCTTAAGAAATGGCTTGATTATATCTTGGAACAGATGGCAATCATGGAGGCACAAAGAATTTATTTACCACGCACCTCAAACTGTTACAACATATGATTTGACGCATTTTAGTTTCTCACCACAGAAAGCAAAAGTATATGGAGCATCTTCCAAAGGGAAACAAATGTGAACCCCCCCAAAATGGCTTAAAATCTCAACCTTATACTGGCACTTATATTTAGGGAAAGAAAACAGTTTATACAAACTTCTATCTTATATTGGCACTCATATTTAGGGAAAGAAAACAGTGTATAAAGATAAAAGGAAGTTTCCTGTAAAGGCCCTCTGTTTGTAGATTGGCTGAGTTGCCCTGATCCCTTTCACTGCCCTTTAACAAAAGAATGAAAAACAATTAAATCAACATTAAGAACAAAAAACAATTGAATCAGCACTAGGTGAAGGTGACAGTACATGCTGGATTTGATTATAAGATTTAGCCAAGAATCTATGTTCTGTGCTTTTATAAAATCCTTTCATTTATGATCTTTTAATTCTGTATTCTTAATATTTTAAGCAATATTAGTTAGTTTGTGTTCAGTAAAAATTGATTTTGAGTATAAGTAAACCACTTGTCACTATGTAACCATATGCGCTGCCAACCGTGGAGTTCCTGGTTTCAGCCAGGTGACTGCAGGTTTCAATGAGTAATGATTTGTTGAAAATGTTTTCTTTGAAGTAAAATAATATTTTTTTAGGGTTGTTTTGTATTCTCTTAACCATGAAGTAAAAATGAAACAATTGGATGTTGTGCAAAAGCTTGTAATGATTTGTGTATAAATAAAGAAGGCAACTTTTCTGAGTTGTCCATTATGAGCATCATGCTGTAATGGTCCATGCCTCCTCTGCCTCTCCATCTTATCTCTTCTTCATATCGTCTCGCTAATCCACACACTCTTTGCAAGCTCTTGGGTCAGCCAGAGCAGGTCTCCGGCAGGGAGGGAACACCCGGCAGGCCTCAGATCCTCCTGAAGCATCAACACCCCCCAGGGCAGCCGCTCCCCAGCATTGGGGGACAGGGGACAGCTCTCAGCTCAGGGCCACGACGCTGAAGACAGAACCCAGAGCCACGGAGGCCACCCTGTCCAGACAAGGGAGTGCCAGGCCCAGGGTCACACCTTGGGTCAGTGATGGGGCTCCCACTGCAACCAGCCCAGTCTGTAAAGATTTCACCCCAGGAAAGTGTGTCAGTTCAGGCTGGGAGCCCCAAAATGCTACAGCTAAGAGCTTTCCACTTGAACACAACTCAGTCAGGATCCATCATTCCCGTGGGCACAGAAGCAAAGGCACAAGGCGGGCGATGAAATCAAACGCCAGCCGCAGTGAGAGTGTGTTCAGACAGCCCTGATGCCCAAGGCTTCCTGCCGAGGCCCCGATGCCAGGCAGCAGACACCAACCAGCCCAGGGGCATCCCTGTAAGAGCTCACAACCCACAGATGCCAGGAGCTGGATATGCACACCACTTCAGGCTACAGAGAGCCACTTGGGTTCAGGATGTGGTGGCCACAGACTCCCGGGGATGCTGTCTCAGAGAGAGAGGGGGTGAGTACAGAGGTCTCGGGGTCCATCACCCACCCCCAACCCCCATTCTTACCACTTTCTCGCGAGAGCGCAGGACCCCCATCTTCCCAAAGCGGACGTGGAAGGGCGAGCACTGGAGGCTGCCATTGGGCTGGCGGATAACAATGATGTCGATGCAGCCCGACAGCGTGGCTGGGTTCAGCCCCTTGTAGAGCTCCTTGACCGTGACGAACACCTGGCCGGCCAGCTGCCCCACGTAATTCATGGTCTGAGCCTGGGGGATGAGAAGACACACACACACACATGAGTCAATGTGGGGAGCTAAAGCAAGTGCCTCCCCAGTTGAGAGACAGAGCCCATGTCAGCCCACTGGGCTCAGATCTCTGCTGCACTGGAGGCACCCCCCAAGCCTACCCCCATCCCGCTCTACTCCCCCAGCCTGGCAAACTCTGCCACAGCTGGGTCCAGCCAAGAAAGCCCTATCACAAGCTGCCTGACATCCCATGACACCTGCTCACATGGCCCTGGCAGCTGGAAGCCACTTGTGCCTGTCCTGTTCTGTCCTTGTGTACGGGCTGGCACGCTTAAGACTCAAGACAAGGAGACTCTATGTCATATAGCAAACGCCCCCTCCTGCTAAACAGTGTGGGTGCCTAATGACATTAATTGCAAATATCACCACTGTGCTCACCTACAAAGAGGAAACAAGTGCTGTGTGTGTGTGCGACAGTCCCCATCCCGGTCCCCGCCTGCCACTGAGCACTGGCACCACACTGGGCTTCAGTGCTGTGCTGCTGGGCACTTGCCCCAGCTAGTCACGCGCCATCCACTGGGCAGACACGCAGGGCGTGTATCCCACAGGGCCTGGTGCTGCCACTCACAAGTGACACACAGGCCCTGTCCCCTGCAGGACAGAGCAGCGCCACACCAGAGACTGTGGGCATCGGGGCTACTGTGTATCAGGACTAAGGAGAGAGAAGTATGCCTCTGTGGGAGGGAGGTAGCCCTCAAGGTGGGCTTTGGAGGGGACTGCCTATCAGCCCAGTACAGGGTACCTGTCCACACGTCCAGGGCACAACAAGGACCAGCACTCTTCAATCAATCAAGACAGAGTGGCCCCATGCTCCAGAAGAGTTCTCAAAACCACATCAGCATGCCTGCACAGAACTGTTCCCAGCAGCCAAAAGGAGGAGCCACCCATGGCCACACGGCCACAGACACACAGACACACGGCCACATGGACGCACAGTCACATGGATACACAGACACACGGACAGAATGTGTTGTGCCTCGGATGACTGGCTCCTTGGAACCTCTGCAAGGAGGGTGGCTCAGACGCAGCTGCCAGGTGGACAGACCCTGAAGCCAGGACACCAAGTTAAGAGGACACCCACCACGTGGTTCCCCTGACGCGAGCTCCTCAGGACAGACCGACTCAGACACACACAGTGGAAAGCAGTGACTACCAGGGCTGGGGAGAAGTGAGAAATGGGGGCTGGGATTAAGGCCTGGGGCCTCAGCTCCCCAAGACCAAGAGCTCTTGTGGCTGGCAGCGACACCCGGATGTGGCACCAGGACACCAATGGGCTTACCGCCATGTGCCAGGAGCTCCTCAGTCTGCCCCATGCCCAGGCTCTCCTCTGAGGACACACTTGGCACTTACAGGCCACCAGAACCAACCCCCTGGGCACAGATCCCCATATGCCACTTCCTCCTAACATTCAAAGCAAAGCTCAAGCCAGCAGCCAGGCAAAAGCAGTCCCGGTCAGCTTCCTGCCCGGCCACACCTGCTCAGCTCAGGCACCTGGGGCCGTTTGTTCTGGAAAAGAAAGCCTGTCTACTGCTCAAAGTAACAGAAGATGCGAAAACTTCACAAACAAGACCGGCCTAACGGAGCAGCTCTCCCACACCTGCTGCACAGGCACCACGTGACCCCTCAGTCTAACCTCAACATTAGGCAGAAAACAGCTGCTGTACCTGACAGGTGTCCACGCCCCCAGGTCACAGGTCAGGCTGGATCTCTCAGGGACCACACTCCCACCTGTGCGCCAGGCGACCAGGAGCCCGTCTCCTGGCTGCACTGCTCCTCTGAGTCTGTCCCGTCCTCGGGAGACACACGCATCCAGACGGGCTCCTCTCAGTCCCCAGCAGGTGACTCACAGGACCCAGGACTGGGCATCCACTCACAGCCCTGACAACACACAGCACGCTCACCCTGAACTGCTCAATTCTTAAAATGATTACATTTTAAAGTGTTTTATCATTCAAAAATAATCATTTACATTAAAAATGTAATAAATCTAGATTTTTAAATAATTATTATGGAGATAATTAGACCTAACCCCAGGGGAAGAGACTATGCCAGGTCAAGCCCTTCATTGTCAATCCAGGGATTAGCTGTTCCACTCATTTATGAAGCGAGCAAACAGAAGTGACTTGGCGTCCCTGTCCAAGGGCAAGATTACACCAATTTCATCCAGGGGCCTTACCTGGCATTTTTCATAGCTCATACGTAGAACATACGTGTTGCAAGGAACAGAGCAGAGGGCTGCAGACAGAAAGGGTTGAAGAAGGCCAACCAAAGTCAACTGCAAGGCAGCTCACTTCTAAGTTCCCCTGGCCTGCAGGGCAGGGAGGCTGAGCAGACAAGGACACAGCAGCTAAGTGCTCATACCACACACCTTCAGGTGAGCTCCTCAGGGTTAGGGCACCACGAACATGATGACCGACACGCCTAGCGGCATGCATCTCTCTGTCTCTGCCTCTGTCTCTCTCCTCCTCAGAAGGCTGGCATGGTAACCACAATGGTGGTGTGAGTGGCTCTGTTTAGATCCGGAGCCTGATGGGCTGCACCCAGTGCAGCCTCCCATGATGTCCACTCCCCAGCCTCCTCTAGCGCCCCCAGCAGAGCAATACTGGGGGCCCAAAGGTCAGAGTGCAGGTCCCGCCACCCAAGGCAGTGCTCGCCCCGCTGGCAGTGCAGATGAAGGTGACGCTTTCTCGGGAAGCACCCACTAAGCCAGGTTCTGTCCAATCTTTATCCCCCTCATTTTCCCTCCGTTAGCCCTTTCTACTCCTGATGCATCAAGTGTGGCCTGGTCTTCATTGCGTCCTCCATTTCCTCACCCATGAGCCTAGGACACGACTCGTCCACCGACACCCCCAATGACTCCATGACTTGCAGCTGAGCCTCTGATCCATCCGGAACAGTACCCTACATCCGGGGCAGGGTCCCATCAGCCTGGCTGGCATGGGTCAGGGAGCTGAGCACACAGCTGCCCACCCCAACACATCTGCTCTCTGGAGGACATGGGTGCTCCTGGCGGAGTCCCCAGCACCAGGCCCACCCCACGGGCCCAGGAACCCTCTGCAGCATACATGGCTGTTCCACCACTCACCATGTTTTCTTTGATCGTATTTCTGCAACGTTTCCCAGGAGAGCTAATCTTCTGGGCACTGTCTCTTAAGCTAGTAACTTCCACAGAATTAACTGGATTAATCTAGATGCTGATGAACTTCTGAAAGTGACAGTGCTTTATTGGTGCAGCGTACTTTTCCTGGGTCTTGAACTCCGGCTTTGTTGGGCATTTGGGAAGTGAACCAGTACACAGTTTACTTGCTCTCTCAAATAAGCAAAAAAAATAAAGGAAAAAGGGAAGAATCAAGACCTCAAGCTAAGGCTACTGACCACTGGTGACCATTCTCCCAAACCAGTAACAGAGGGGAATTGAGTAGAGAGATTAGGTAGGAAGCAGTGGGCAGGAGGATTCCTGGTCACTGGAGTGGACGCCACAGATAGGCAGTTTCCAACGCACAGTGGCAGGTGCCACCTCACCTGCGGGGGAACTTCCAAGGGCAGGTCATCTGATGAGAGGCAGTGAGCTCCCTGTCACTGGGAGCACAAGGAGTCAGAAGCCCTGCCTGGCTCTCACTCTCAGGCCATCCCGTGATCTGGTAGCAGCCCCAGGAGGCCGAGTCCATCCCCAGCAAGCAAAGGGACTCGAATTTGATCCCAGCACAAGATTCCAGAAGTGCTGTGTGTTTGGGGCAGAGCGGGGCAGAAATAATAGAACTTAAAAGAAATTAAGGGAACAGGAGGTGTTTTCTCTCCCAGGAGTGTCAAGTTCACAAGACAATGCCTCCCACACAAAGCCTACCAGTTCAGTTATCAGGCCTCTGGCACAGAACAGTCTGGAAAACAGGAAACCTGGGAGTGCCTGTGCTCTCCCATTCCCTACTAACAGGCATAAAACAAACTGCCACCAGCATGCTGACAAGGTGTGCACAGCAGCCAGACCCCAGAAAAACACCTGTAAAACCTTCCTTATTGCCGCCTCCTCCTCCCCAGCAGGTGACTGCCCACACCCTCACAGCTCTCCCTCCTCAGGGTCTCCACGGAGGCAAAGAAAGAGCCACCATTCGGAGCTCTGTCCCACAGCCCTCCAGGGCCAAGACAGGAGTCCGTCCACCAATGCCTTCGGGACTCGGGGACTTTCTTGGCACCCCAAGGCTCTGGAAGGAAGAGCTGGAGATGAGTTTTTTAAAAAGACATATACTTAAAAGATAGATTTACAGAGACAAATTTTCCATCCACTTGCTCACTTCCAAATGGCTGCAATGACCAGGGCTACCTGGGCGGAAGCCAGGAGCCAGAAGCTTCATCCAGGTCTCCCACAGGGGTGGCAGTGACCCCAGGACTTGAACCATCTCCTCGCGCCTTTCCCAGATGTCTTAGCAAGGAGCTGGATGACAAGTAGAGCAGCCAGGATTTGAACCGGTGTCCATATGGGATGCCAGCATAGCAGGCAGTGCCCTGAGCTGCACTGCCTCAGCACGACCCATTGGAGATGCTTTTAAAACCGTCCACTTCCAACCAACAAACCCTGATGAAAATGACAACAGCAGGGGGCCAGCACTGTGGCACGGCAGGTTTGAGTCCTGGCTGTCCACTGTCGATCCAGCTTCCTGCTAACGCACCTGAGAAAGTAGCAGAAGATGGCCCGAATACTTGAGTCCCAGTGCCCATGTGGGAGTTTGGATGAAGCGCCTGGCTCCTAGTTCCACGTTGGCCCAGCTTTGGCCATTGTGTGGAGTGTGGGAGAGTACAAGTGCTCACTCACTCTTCATAAAAATACTTTTAAAAAGAGAAGGAGAGTTTGCTTCATAAATAAGAATGTAGGAAGTAATATAATAAGGGAAAAGTCACTTCAAATCCTCCCTTTGAATTCAGTTAGATATATTCTGACAAGCTACCACAACTTCTAG